CCATTTCTGAAGAAGGGTCTAAGCCCGAAACATCAGCTTTCCTGCTCCTCTGAAGCTGCTTGGCCTGCTGTGTTCATCCAGCTATACACCTTGTTATCTCACAACATTCCAAGTGTTCCATTGGTTATGGTAAGTTCAACAACAATACCAAACTCTTTCTAAAAAGTAATTTAAAGACAAATTTTTAAAATGAGAAACTTGATTTTAAAATTGCTCTAGTAATCATTCAGTCATACGGGTAGTTCTCCTATAATGTGATAGTTGCGTTCTTATGTGACCTGGCTTGATAGCAAATCACCATAGAAAATCACGTTATAGGGAAATCACCATAGAAAATCACTACATCTGTACAGCAGAAAGTTTGTATTATCCGAACAGCATCCACTATTCCTCAATTGCATTACAGCCAATTCATATTAACGAAATATGCATTATAGCAAAACTACCTGTGCAGAATCTGAGATTTGCTGCAAAAAGACACATTTCAGATCATAAGATGTAGGTCATTCAGTCCATCAGGCCTGCTTCACCGTGACCTTTGATTCCCTTATCGATTAAAATTCTGTCTGTCTTAGCCTGAAATATTCTAAATAACCCAGCTTTGGCAGCCCTCTACAGTAAAGAATTCCACAGATTCATTGTGCCCTGAAAGAAGAAGTTCCTCCCTACCCAAAACATCGATTTTCCTACTCCTCTGATGCTGCCTGACCTGCTGTGTTCCTCCAGCTCCACACTGTGTTGACTCTGACTCCAGCATCTGCAGTTCTTGGTATCTTCAAGTTCCTCCCCATTGATGTCTTAAATGTGTTACCTGTTATTCTCAGATTATGCCCTCTGGTCCTAGATTCTCCCACAAGAGGAAGGAAACAAGGTCTCCACATCTACCCTGTCAAGTCCCCTAAGAATCCTGTACATTTCAATAAAGTCTCTTCATAATGAGTCCAGGCCCAGCCAACTCAACCTTTCTTCATAAGAAAATCTCTCAAAATCCAGTATGAAATTATTAAAACCTCTCTGGACTACTTCTAATGTCACTATATCCTTCCTTAGCTAGGGAGTCCAATACTGTTCACAGTATTCCAACGGTGGTGTAACTAATGCCTTGCATGGTTTTAGCAAAACCTCCCAACTTTTATACTCCATTCCCTTTAAAACAAATACCAACATTCTATTTGTCTTTCCTATTACCTGCTGAACTTGGTTACTAGCTTTATGTGATTAATGCATGAGGACTCTCAAATCCTTGGGGCAGCATGGTGGCTCAGTGGTTAGCACTGCAGCCTCACAGCACCAGGAACCTGGGTTTGATTCCAGCCTCAGGCAACTGTCTGTGTGGAGTTTGCACGTTCTCCCTGTGTCTATGTGGGTTTCCTCCCACAGTCTAAAGATGTGCAGGCTAGGTGGATTGGCCATGCTAAATTGCTTGTAGTGTTCAGGGGTGTGTGGGTTATAGGGGGATGGGTCTGGGTGGGATGCTCCAAGGGTTGGTGTGGACTTGTTGGGCCAAAGGGCCTGTTTCCACACTGTAGGGATTCTATGAAATGTCCCTCTATTCTGTAGCTTGATGCAGCCATTCACCATTTAAATAATATTCAGTTCCTGTAACATTCCTGTCAAATTTTGACAAAGCATATCATCTTGTACTTATCAGGACAGTTTGCAAGAAGTACAAAAGTAAAGCAAAACAGCATTTTTACAGTATGAGAAGAGAATAGTGATTGGTTCAGCAAGTGGACTCTGATTGGCAAAGATAATGCCATAGAGAATACATTCATCAACATTGACTGCCAAGATTTGTTTAATTTTAAACAAGGCAGGTTGAATCTAGTCAAGGCATTGAAGTGAGAAATGAACAAGGTAATGGCTGTCACATATTTAGTTGCATTGAAACAAGCACATTGTGAGTACTTGTTCTATCTGCCTAGAAAGAACAGGGCCACGTATATTAATGTACGTAGCCTGGAAAGAATTATGCCGATAAACAAATTCTATTGTCAGTCAGGCTCGTACTATGACACATTTGCACATACTGGAAGCTAATATATTAATACGCAGGCCCTTGTTCATCATTAAGTAGTGCATTCTCCATTGCCTTGCTTTTACAAATCATGTCAAATTGTCAATCAGTCAGCACTTTCCTCTCATAGATTATAAATATTGTTTTTGCTTTGCTTTTTCTTGAAAATTGTTATGACAAGTGTAAGATGGAAATCTTCAAGACATGTATCCTTTTTCAATGTGGACATGACAGTGTTGTACTGGGGTGGACAAAGTCAGAAGTCACATGTCCACAGGTAATAATCCAACAGGTTTATTTGAAATCACAAGCTTTCAGAGCGCAGCCCCTTCGTCAGGTGCAGAGACTGGTAGCCAAGTTTTGTACCTATGAAGACGGCCTCAACCATGATCTTGGGTTCATGTTGTGCTACATATGACCCAACCACACTGTTGCGTATCTCTAAAATCTTCCTCGCAGTTTTATTTTGACACCATCACCTTGATAAATTGTTGTGATCTCTCTACCTTAATTAGTTTGTACAGTTTTGGATTACTTATTACTTTGGTTAGACCTCGGCATGTGACTCCTATACCTATCATGTTATTCCAATCATTTAGTTTGTACTCAGCACAACCTTATTTTGAATTTTTTATAATGATCTCACTGCCACATTTAATCAGATTATAGGTCTTCCCTTCACTGGTTATTCAGCTGTTGACACTTTATTCACTGTCAAACACTCTTGGTTACCTGCAGAAACTTATTATCTGACACTCCACTCACACCTGTTGTATGATCTTTTAATCTCTCAGCCCTTGATCTCTCTGCCTATAAACTCTGTGTCTGTGTGCTCTTCTCTCTCACTGCGTCTGACAAAGGGACTGTGCTCCAAAAGCTTGTGAGTTCAAATAAACCTGTTGGACTATAACCTGGTGTTGTGTGACTTCTGACTTTTAATCTTCCTTCAGATAAAGTTTCCAATAGCTTATAATTTAAATACTAGGCTGGCAACCCAAAGACCACAGTTGTGAGATTTGAATTCATAAGCATGACCATTTATTTGGAAGCACCAAAAAGAATAACCCTAAAAGCTACTGATTTGTTACAAAAATTCAGCTGGTTCACTAACCCCCCATGTCTGCATGTGCCTTACACTCATATCTTGAGACTGATTCTTAAAAACTTCTTTTCTGGCCAACAAGCCAATTAGTTGTCAAGGCAACTAGCAATGGGCAATAAAGGTAATCTTCTTAGTATTATCTGTATTCCAAATGCAAGTGAAAAATATAATATTGATATTGTTAAGATATCATGCAATGCACATATGAGGAGAGGAAACATAAAGTTATGGAAATTTTATTCACGGAGCAATACAGTGGCTGTATTGGCTCTTTGCTTAATCAATCCAGGACTATTATTGCCATCATTATAGCCTGGAAAGACATGAAAATAATAAGAAAAAAAGCTAAATATTTTTGTGACCCATTAAATTTTGCTGAATTGAACAAAGCAGGAGTCATAGAATTCACGGTGGTATCAGAAGACTCAGACGGAGATGACGATATGAAGCTAGAAAAACAAGAAGTAGAGTTTATCAATGAGTTAAACAATATAGCCCATAGCAGATAATATTTACTTTTCCTATTGTTTCCTCCTAAAATGACTACAGCAATAGATTGCAAATTAGTGAAGAGGAATCGCCACATTCTTCCAATTCTGGTCTCTTGTGCAACCTCTTTTTTTTTTGCTTAACTATGCATGCCATCAGCCTAAACTCTGCATTTCCTCCTTAAATCTCTTGATCTTTCTACCTGTCGCCTTAGAAAATACTTCTTTCACCAGGAAATCATGATCGAGATTTGTATCTCCTTATACAGTCATACAGCATGGAAAGAGACCCGTTAGTCCAACAAATCCTGGCCGACCATGTTCCCAAACTAAACTCGTCCCACCTGCCTGCTCTTGGCCCATATCCCTCCAAACTCTTCCTCCACAGCAAAGAGCCAGTGTTTTTGCATGTACTTTTCTTCAAATAAAAGCATGCATTTTATGGCTTGCCATCTCACCTCCAGTTCCAGTAAAGAATATCAATTATCAAAATGCAAAGATAATACTTGAATGTAATGTTGGCTCTGCGACCGCATTCTGGTGTATGTTGGGATATACTGGCTTGCTGACAGGTACTTCGGTCATACTGGCATTTCTGGCACGAAAACTACCAGACAATTTTAATGAAGCCAAGTTCATTACTTTTAGTACGTTAACTTTTTCTGCAGTTTGGGTGACTTTCATTCCAGCTTACATTAGCTCACCTGGAAAATATACAGTAGCTGTTGAAATATTTGCAATTTTGTCTTCCAGCTTTGGTCTGGCAGCCTGTAATTTTATTCCTAAATGCTACATTATTTTGATAAAACCAGATCAAAACACAAAAAAAAAAATCTGATGGGGAGAGCAGGTGCAGACAGTAAATAAATTATGCAAATTATAAATCAATTGTTAAATGCTAAATGAGCAATGTATCTTTTATTCTGTTCTTATTAGGAAAAAGTGTCTGGTATCATTTGTAAATTTTCATAAGTTGGTTCTGTTAAAAAAACTGTATTTAGATTTAAATATTGAAAGATATGGAATGCTATGATTTATTAAATCAATAAAAGAATCATATAGTTCTTTGCTAATCTGTAGTGCTCTCTGTCCTGTCTTCCAAAAAACATTAGCACACACTTTTCTATTAAATTCCATATGTCACCTAAGGGGGTTACTATTGTTAGCTGTCCTCCCAGGTTTCTCCTTACTATTAGGATTTAGGCAATATGGAAATTCTCCTGACTGTAAGATGTTGAGAAATGCTACTAGACCCAATATTACTGATAGCATTTTCAAATTATAACCTTACTTTTAGCACTTAATATTATTTAATTACATATTATTTCAACCTACAGCAGTTCTTACTTGTCATATCAATTATTTGTATTGGAAAAACAATTCTATGGGTGTCTGCTGACATGGTCGAGTTCATCTGTGCCACTTCCTCCACGGTTGCCAACTTTTGTTGTCAAAGCTAATGTGTGAATAATGATGTTGTACACTGCAAGATCTGAACATTTTGTTACATTGTCCTCTCTGCTGCCATCTCCTTGGGTAATGTAGACATTGTGTAGTTAAATAAGGTTGTCTACAATACACCACAAATGACCCTTCATGTGACTCTTAAGCTAACATTTGCTATAAACCAGCAGTAATAATAACTTAGATTTTATATGGTGCCTTTCATGTAGTTAAACAATTTGAAGCAAAATTAGACACATGGGTACAGAAGAAATTACGGAAGAAGATGGCCAAAGGTTTGGTCAATGAGGTAGGTTTTAAGAAGTGTCAGAAAAGAAGTAAGGGAAGTCGAGAGTGTTGAGGAGTGAAATCCAGAGTTTAGGGGCTCAGCATCTAAAGGTAAGGCCACCAATGGTGCATTAATTAAATTTTGGGATGCACGAGAGGGCAAAATTAAAGGAATGCAGATATTTTAGAGGGTTGTGAGATTTAAGGAGATTACAAAGCTAGGGAAGGCATTAGTGTCATTAGTGGTAGTTAATTTTGTGCACTGTTATTGTTTATTTATTATTTAATAACAGTTTAAATACCTGTTGACCTTTTCTAACATAATTACTGCATTATGCTAACAAACAGGCTAAATGGTAATATTGTTTGTAAATTAATCAAGTTGAATTTGCTAATTCATCTGTGTATGATAAGCTATTATTTCCTCACTCATGGGACCAACTAAATATGTTTATGCATATTGGGATTTCCTTTTATTAGCTTTGTTTTCATTACAGTAAAAATATGTTTAAAAGAATATTTCAGCAGGAACAATATTTTCAGTATGTCTTCCTTAATTATCTCATGTCTTTCTGCGTGTCATTCAAAAAGAAGCTGTGCATTTCAATGAATCAAGTATTTTAGTATTACATTGCTTAAAGTGTAATAGAATTAGTTATTGTTCTTTGCTGATATGGGTGAGCCCTATTAAAGAGCACAAGGAAAAGAAGGAGTTCAGCATCATCTTCGTATGCATCAATCAAAGCTATAATTTGTATAGTAAATCAATACAGGCAGAGAACACCAAAAGAAACCTTAGCTTTCAATCATCATACAAAATGAAAGGCTGACATGATAATACTCCTCTCAAATTTCTCCCTAGTGGAATCAGTTACAAGTTAGTACACCTGCTCCTCAAGAAAGGGAGCATCTGTTGAGTGCAGAATTTTCATCTGCAATTTAGGAAGGTTACAGATGGAAAGAGAGAGATAAGAGTATAGGTGTGTTACAATTCTAAATATTAACCTGGGGTGCTTCACCGCAACTCACATTTTCACTTTTGACTCGGTTTATATCCAGCCCGTGAAATTATATCCATCCACTATTTATGTGAATCTTCATTAAATTAAACAAGGCAGCTTCAACTCGGTTACTGATATGTAACAAGCTTACAACAGGAATTTTCTACAGTTCAGCTAAAGAGCAGACGTGTAGCTAAAGTGCAGCTGACATGGTAAATTAGAAACAAAAAGCTCTTCTGAGATTGAGGTTAAAAAATACTGTTTGGCCAGAATATGGGTAATTTTATATATTGTGCCCATACTTCTATGAGCACGGGGGTGCTTGTGAATAACAATGCATGACCAAACAGAAACAAATCCATTCCAAAGCAGTTTTCAGTTTGATGTGTGCAAAATCCCAATAAAAGATATTCTTAATTTCTTAAGATGTTTGCTCATACTGGGGTCACGATCCTTTCTGGAACCTCTCTGGTTTCAATTTTGCTTTAAAACAAAGGTTATACAATTAATGGTTTTACTATCTTTACCTCCAACCAAAGCAAAATTAGTTAAACTTATTGTTAACCTAAAACCGCAAATAAGAAAAAATTTTATAGTTGGATCTTCAAGAAACCTTTGATCTTTTCTGGTTTCAAGAGGAATTTTCTTAACAGTAGCACTCACAATGTGGAGATACTTCGTCACTTCTCAGATTTGCTTTACAAGTGAAGTTGTTGACTTGCTCACCGAGCTGGCTTGTTTTTGTTCAGGCGTTTCATCTTCATCGCTTCATCGGAGGCCTCACTGATGATGTAACCTAGCATAGTGATGAAACGTCTGAACTAAAACAAGCCAGCTCGGCGAGCAAGTCAACAACCTCACCCCCAACCCAAGCTACAAATCTTTGCCAAAACTTTGCTTTACAAGTGCCATGTGGTCATCATGGTAACTGAGGAAGTATTTTACATTTTAATTTCAAATTTTCAGCATCTGCACTACTTTGCTTTCGTATTAATGATGAAACTAATGTTACTTCTCTTCAAAAAATACACATTTCAAAGAAGTTCTGTTCTTTTCCCCAAGGCATTCCATTTGTCTCTACCTTGTTAAATTTTGTTACTTTTTGTTTTCCTTCTTGTGTTTGATTTGGAATTTATCAAAACTCACTTTCACTTGCATAAACAATTGTCTTCAGCTCCAATATATGCAACGTGGATTCCAACTAAAATTTCACCTTACATGTTTCATATCTGCCTATGATTACAAATATCTCCAAAATATTCAGTGTTCCCTAAGTCAGTCGTCTCACTGAACCCTGAGCTCCATGCTCAAAGACACATGCGCTCATGATTTATCCCTCAGTTGTACCAACTCGACCTGTTTCAAAACTGGCCTGGCCCACAGTTTATACAATTCTACACTTGAACAAAGAAGTTCCCTTTGCCCTTCCATGTGTCAAGCATAATAAATTTCAACAATTCAGATAGCAATACCCTTCTAGTTTGCACCTCCACATTTCTTTCCTCTGATCCTAATTGTGTTTTTACCATCCCATTTGATTTTTTCTATTTTAACCTGAATAATTGTTTCTCAACTAAGGCCCCTTAAGCCCATTTCACTAAACTGCCAGCTTCTTAGCCAAATGATCACTCCTCAGCTAAGGCCTCAGTTTCGTCCCTTATGTCTATTTCACTAAACTTTGCACTCAGCTGAGCTCCGCGTCCATTGCTTTCACCAGTGCACTTAATTCTTTGGCCCCACAAACTCGCTAATAATCAAATATTCTGTTCTACGTGGGTGTCTTTCTGGTCTGTTATCCTCTCCAGATCTTTTCATTGGGAATTGCTAGCATGACAATGGTTGCCTCAATTCTCCTACTCCACTCATTCTCTCCACTTTGAATATGAAGAGCTTCTTTCTCTCAGGTACAATCTTAGTAACGTCATTAAATCAACTGCTAAAAATGCTTTTTGGCTTTTGTTTAGAGGACAACTCTCTGACATCTCTATGGGCAATAAGATTACCAGTCAACTCCAAGCTATTGTTTCTCAGGCTATCACTGCACCTGGAGAACCTGCTTCCATATCTAAAATAAAACAAAGAATTGCAGATGCTGGAAATCTGAAACAAAAACAGAAATTGCTGGAGAAACTCAGCAGGTCTGGCAGCATCTGTGGAAGAAAACAGAGTTAATGTTTCAGGTCTGGTGACGCATCATCAGAGTTCTGAGTTCTCCAGCAATTTCTGATTTTCTTCCTTCCGTGTCATCCTACGTCATAACTTTTCAAGTAAGCACAGTCTAATTCTACCTCTTTCCCCAAGATCCACAACAGTAGCTGCCCATAACAGCTGCCCTGTTATGCCTACTGTCATAGTCTTCCTGCTCCATGAAGTGATTTCTTTCTAACTTGACTATTATTTTCACCCCGGTTAAAAATCTTCCCAACTGCACCCAAGCAAGGTGGTGAAATGTGAAACTAGGTGCAAATCTTGTTCTTGATAGTTTGTTTATATACAGAATGCAGTATAACATATAAGATACAAGACACATGTAAGATTCTTAGAGGACTTGACAAGGTAAGTGCAGTGTTTTCCCCTTGTGGGACAGTCTAGGACCAGACAGCATAATCTCTGAACAAGAGGTCACACATTTAAGAGATGACAAGGAATTTCTTTTTTCAGAAGGTTGAAGCTTTAGGCTAAAAACTTGAGTGTATCCTCATATCTTTTCCTTTGATTGCTCTTTGAAGGTTGGCCAACAGAGAACTGGGGGAATTTTCTATTGGAATTGGTTCTTCAGGAGCAGCCCCTCAATGAAGGTAGATACAGCGGCATGGAGGATGATCGCATTGGTGCTGCAGTCCTCCCATTTGATCTCCAGGCTTTGTTTTGGACACCACTGATGAAGGCCTTCAATGATATTTTTCTGGAATCAGTAGGAAGTCCAGGTTTTGGTGCAGTAAAGGAACATAGTCAACACTACAGCTTTATAAACCAGCACCTTTTTTGACATCCAGAGGTTCTTGTTGTCAAAACCACATGATTGCAACAAACATATTTTCTCCTGCTTTTTCAGGATTCTGAAATATTTATTCCTTTCAAGTTATCCTCGGTCACTTTTAGTCATTTCCAATAAATCTGTTTCACATGGAATCACAGAATCCCTACAGTGTGGAAGCAGGCCATTCAGCCCATCGAGTTACACTGACTCTCCAAACAGTATTCCACCCAGATCCAACCCCCTACCCTAACCCTGTGACCCTTCATTGCTCATGGCTAAATCCAACTAGCCTGCACATCCCTGCACATTATGGACAATTTAGCATTGCCAACCCACCTATCCTGCACTTCACTGGATGTGGGAGGAAACCGAAGCACCCAGAGGAAACCCATGCAGACACGGGAGAACATGCAAACTCCACACAGTCACCCAAGGTTCGAATCGAACCCAGGTCACTGGTGCTGTGAGGCAGCAATGCTAACCACTGAGCCACCATGCCGCCCCAAATCTTCCTAAGCAAGTACAGAAAGTACAACTTCTTACATCTCCCCTTCCATCCATCCAGGGTGCTAAACATACCTTCCGGGTGACATGAAGATTTTATGCCTCAGAAACAGATGCCAATGGAAGTAGGAATAGTGGCCCAAAAATTGTTTGGAGATGGATGGGAAGTTGCATGGGGACCCACTCACATTTTCAAAATCGGTAACTATCAGGCATCAGATTCATGAGACAACAGATCAAATTTTTATGGGCCCCTCCATATTTACATGGGACACAGCACATCAGGACCCTGCAGCTTTGCTGCAGTTGGAAGCCATAGATTTAGGCTTTTCTCATTTGTTAATTGAAAGGATTCAGGCAGTCATTGACTGATTTAGAGTCTATGTTTCCTTGAATCTACACTCCTGGGAGGGTGTTCACTGAACAGGAATTTGAGATAGTGTTGCAACAGCCAGTGTCTCAATCAGATTGGCAATACTCCAGTGCATTGGCCTCATTTATTCTGCAGGGAGATCCTCCAGACAAGAGGAGAACCGGAGAAAGGATGGAAAATGTGGGTGCATGGATCAGGGCAACAGCAACCTGCTCCAGCCCTCCTGCACTCATGACCCTATGAAGGGCTACAGCAAAAGGCTGCAGAGGAGACAAGGAGCAGGAGCCAGCATAGAGTCTGTGGTCAGGGTATACAGACACAGACGTAGATGTTAGATCAGCAGTGCTACCAAAGATTGCATCTTTCTAAAGAGGCCATGACTGATCTATAGAACATAGAACATAGAACAGTACAGCACAATACAGGTCCTTCGGCCCACAATGTGGTGCCGACCTATTATGCTACTAAGATCAAACTACCCTGCATACCCTACATTTTACTATTCTCTATGTGCCTATCCAAGAGTCGCTTAAAAGTCTCTAAAGTATCTGACTCCACTTCCACTGCTGGCAGCGCATTCTACATGCCCAACACTCTCTGTGTGAAGAACCTACCTCTGACATCTATATGCCATAGTGTAAAAGCTGGTGAGCTCTGGTAGTTGTAATCCAATGCCAGGAGTCATGGTCACTCAAGGTCCTGAATTGCTATATCTCTGTCATCTCCCAATCAGACTCACATCACTACATCAATGCAGAAACAGATGCTCTTTCCAGGACAGCTAACCAGTATTTATATTATTGAACTGATGCGGACAGTCAACCTTTGAGAGCTAGAGGTTTTCATACCATTGCTGGATTCTCCAAGGTACAAGGTCTGCATACATGGTCATCAAGGCTCCTGTAGGCCAGGCTACAGGCCTTGTTAATCAAAAGGATTTTCATTCCTTCACCATGCAACTCATCTGCAAACCACATAGGAGGTCCTGCAGAGGTGTTGATGGTACCCTGGTAACAGCCAACACACTTATATTCTCCAGCATTCCGAGGTGCCACAGGTTACTCCAATATGTACCTTCAAGGATGGATATCAGCAGACAATGGATACCTCAACATGATGCACCAGGAGTCTCTCTGATAGTGTTGGTTTGCCATGATTTACACAACCATGCACTGCATAATTGGAGGGGAGCACTTGGAGCTCAACAAGAAATAATTGCACAATAGGCTTGAGAAGCACTTCAAATCACACATAGAGTCATACAGCATGGAAACATACCCATTGGTACAACAAGTCCATGCCGAACATTGTAGCCTGCAAACCAAATAAATGGCCACATTTCACTGAAATGAATGTCCCTCACCTCTCCTTGCCACTTAGCCCTTGTCCTGACCAATGAAATTTTGCCCTGCCAGAGAGCAAAAAACAATGAATGCAGACTTTTATAAACTAAATCAGGCATTTTTACATGCATCATCACAATCAAGCAAAGAAACATTAATTGTCTGGTCATCAGTGAGATCTAAATGATTTAGTGTGCTTTCTTAATTATTTTACCAGTAATCCTACATACTGTTTACCCTTTACAGCAGCGTGATGGAAACAGCTGCTGACCTTGCTGCCCCATTGTTTGGGATCAGCTTAGCAGCCATTCCCTGGTTGCTGAGGACTGCAGTATACAGGCATGTTGAGGAGCTCCTATTCAGATGCAGGAGCATTTTCTGCTGTTGTGACAACTTGAGATTCCTGGGTCACAGCAGGGAGACTGAGCAGCCCCTGTCCACAGGTCTAACAGAAACCAGCAGAAACAGAAGGCTGCCTCCTTTGTAAGGTAGTTATACCTCCCGGCTAACTTGAGAATGCAGGAGGAACTTGGTGCCTCCTCACCTGTTGCCATTGCTCTGTGAGCTTATGGACAAGGCAATGGCACATCTCCAGCATCTACTGATTGTGCTGGATCTAGCACTCCAGAAGAGTTGCCAGCCTCTTGCTGGAGGAGGCCAATGTGTAGATAAGACATAGATTGCAGACTGAGGGCCTGGATAGTCATATGACATTTTTGTTTACCTCACACTGAATCTCCAACAAGCCAATTTATAGAAGACTCCAAAGGCAGTCAACAGCTTAAGCCCTGACCTCCTTCACTCCTCTTAGTGTCAACCATCTCAGCTGTCACAGCCTCTGCCAGTTATCTATGCATACAGACAGTGCACTCTTCAGGTTGTGAGCCAAAATCCACTTGCAAGTGCCCACCCACAACATGAAAGAAGCTGCACTGATGCAATGATGTGATACTGCACCCTCTCAGATTGCCTTTGTCTCTTGTTTTTTTTATTCATTCGCGGGATGAGGATGTCGCTGACCGGGCAGCATTTATTGCCCATCCCCAATTGCCAATACGGCAGTTCAGAGTCAGCCATATAACTGTGGGCCTGGCGTCACACGTAGGCCAGACCCGGTAAGAATGGCAGTCTACTTCCCTAAAGAACATTAGTGAACCAGATGGGTGCACTAATGATGCCATCGGCCATTTTGGGGCAGGAAATAACTTAATCTAAATATTTCCTGCTGTTAAATGCTTCAGTCTCTTGGTCCTTCTTGGAACTTAACACTTCTCAGTGTGAACAAATGTCCCCATGGGGTGGCAGCAATCTGTTCTTGTGGCTGACCGACAACAGAAAACAGAATGATCAATGTTTCTTGCCCTTCCACATGGAAGTTCAGATTCACATGCTTCTCACATTGATGCTTACACATTGGAATACACATGAACAGCATTCCTCATTCTAACTTAGACTTCCCTCATGGCTAGTGATGAGGTAAACTTTCGTGACAGCACTTTAGCCCCACTGTCTATGTTGAAGCAACCACCCTGGTGCCATGCCAACTCTAGAGCGTCCTCTTCTATGGGGATGAGGGTGACAATGCTTCGACTGTCCATCTTCAGGGTTCTCTTCTCCTGCTGGAACATAGAAGAAAAATGTTAGTGGCTACACAAGAGCAAATGCCATACCAAAATGCCTTAAATGCTTGCTACTAAATTTGTCCAATTGCATGCATGTGGAATTTGGTGACTCTGGGGCCATCTTGCGAGGACCCGACACTGTCAGGCTCACACCCCATGTCAGAACTTCAGCTATTTATTTCCATGGAAAATCTGTCACCTCTTCCCATTGTCATCAACAAGATAGGCTCTCCCTCTCTAGTAAGCACACCCTCACACTTATCCATTTTCTGCCTCCAAAGAGAATTGTGATGTTGGGTACTCACCCTTGCTGAGCATAGAATATTGTTAACAGCCTTGTGGTTCTGCATGAACATTCTCCAGACATTTCCATGGTTGCTTATCTTCTCTATTGCCTCCATCCAAATTGTTTAGCTAGGTGGGAACATCTCCAACTTCTGTTCCTGTATTGCCCAAGCAGCCCACAAAAGAACATGCATGGAATCATCACTGATCTAGTGGACATCTAGAATCTTGCTTCTGCCATACTGATGAATATTCTTCTCTTAAGACTTTCTGCTGAGGAAGCTGGGGCGACCATTTGTAACTGGATGCTGCAGAGATCACTGGTAGCTGGACACTGGAGGGGTCACTGGTAACAGGACACTGGAAGTATCACTAATAGCTGAATGCTAGAGGGGATCATGAAAAACTGGATATTTGCAGGCCAAGTTTTCAGAGGCTGGTATCTGTAGGGATTGCTAAAGCTAATATTTGGTGAATTGTAAGCCACATTAGCCAGTGCAAGACTTCTACTGGAATGAGAGTCAGAACTGGAGGACCTCTGTCATCCATTTCTGGTTTTGCCTTCCTCTTCCTGCCAATTTGTGTAAAATCCTCACCAATGATACAATTTAGAATTTCTTTCAATTTAATATGTTCTATTTACTACCCATGTTGCAGTCTCTGCTTCATTGGGAAGACCAAACACATACTGATCACTTTGTGGACCAACTTTGTTCAGTTTGCATGAACCCAAGTTTCAGTCATTTGTCATTTTAATTTTCCAATTTACTCCCAATCTCACTCTGACCAATAAAGCTAAACATAAAGTACTGTACTTTATCTTTTTATAAGGACATTTTCCATCATGGCTCAGTAGGTAGCATTCTTACCTCTAAATCATAAGGTTCTGGGATCAATTCCAACTCCAAAGACTTGAGCTCAAGCATCAAAGCTAGCAGTTCACTATAGGATGAGACATTAAACCAAGATTTGGGTGGTACGGTGGCTCAGTGGTTAGCACTGCTGTCTCACAGCACCAGGGACCTGGGTTCAATTCCACCCTTGGGTGACCGCCTGTGTGGAGTTTGTACATTCTCCCTGTGTCTGCGTGGGTTTCCTCCAGGTGCTCCGGTTTCCTCCCACAGTCTAAAGATGTGCAGGCTAGGTGGATTGGCCATTCTAAATTGTCCGTAGAGTTCAGAGATGTGTAGGTTGGGCGGGTTATAGGGGAATGTGTCTGGGTGGGATCCTCTGAGGGTCAATGTGGACTTGTTGGGCCGAAGAGCCTGTTTCCACACTGTAGGGATTCTGTGATTCTATCCCATAGTATTATTTTGAAGAAGCAGAACAGGTGGGTTATCCTTGGAGTAGTGGCCAACATTTATCCTTCAATATGGGGCGCACAGTGGCACAGTGATTAGCACTTCTGCCTCACAGCCCTAGGGACCTTAGTTTGATTCCAGTCTTGGGTGACCGTGTGGAGTTTTCATGTTCTTTTCGTTTCTCGTGAGTTTCCACTGGGTATTCCCACAGTCCGAAGATGTGCAGGTTTAGTGGATTAGCCATGATAAATTGCCTCTATGTGTCCAGGGATATGCAGTCTAGGTGGATTAGCAATGGTAAACGTGGGGTTACAGGGATCTAGCAGCAACAATGAAGAAAAAAGTTAACGTTTCAGTTTAACGACCTTTCGTCGGAATTGATCACTGATACAGATGTAATGGTGTTAAGAGAATCTGGAGATGCAGAAGTGAGAAGAACAAAAGGGGTCTGTGATAGGGTGGAGGTCGGAGGTGATTAAATGACAAAATGAATAATAGTGTAACATCAAAGAAAGTAGGAATTACATGGGCATACAACTCACTCTGCTGTCTGTGCTTCTACGCAGGATATAGTTTGTTGTCAATATACTCTAAGTACAGGAAACTATAAAGCCTACTTGGTCTGACTAGTGTGTTAGAGGAGAACCATTTCCTGGCATAACTAGAAGAATCTTATACCTTACACAATATAGTTTAGTGTATAAATAGTCATAAATTACATCGATATTACATTGTTAAAGACTTCGAGGAAGATCCAGATGTTTAGGTCTCAATCCTTTAAGATCATAAGATGTTCTACCCACAAGTCATATGACATCACTGTGGATGATAGAATCATACAGTCATACCACACAGAAACACACCCTTCGGTCCAACCAGTCCATGCTGACCCATAATCCCAAAATAAAGTAGTCCCACCTGCCTGCGCTTGGCCCATATCTTTCCAAAAATTTCTTGTTCATGTATTTATCCAAATGTCTTTTAAACGTTGTAGCTGTACCTACATTCACCACTTCATCTGGAAGTTCATTCTACACACAAACCACTCTCTGTGTCAAAAAGAAAATCGCCCCTCATGTCTTTTTTAAATATTTCTCCTCTCACCTTAAAAATATGTTGCCTAGCCTTGAAATCCCCCACCCTAGGGAAAAAGACACCTGCTATTCACCTTATCTATACCCCTCATGATTTTATAAACCTCTATAAGGTCACCCCTCAACCTCTTACACTCCAATGAAAAAAAAACTCCTAGCCTATCCAGCCTCTCCCCATAACTCAAATCCTTCATTCCCAGCAAAATTCTGGCAAATCTCCTCTGAACCCTCTCCAACTTAATAATTTCCTTCCTATAACAGGGTGGCCAGACTGGACATAGTAGTCCAGAAGAGGCCTCAACAATGTCCTGTACAACGTCAACATAACATCCCAATTCCGATACTCAAAGGCCTGAGCAATGAAGGCAAGCATGTTAAATGCCTTCTTAACCACCCTATCTTTATGTGATGCAAATTTCAAAGAACTATGTACCTGAACCCCTAGATCTCTCTGTTCTACAACACTACCCAAGGTGCTATTTTTAATTGTACAAGTCCTGTTCTTGTTTGTTTTACTAAATTGCAATACCTTGCATTTATCCAAATTAAACTCCATTTGCCACTCTTCAGCCTTTGACCCATTCGATCAAGATCTCTTTGTACTCTTAGATAACCTTGTTCACTGTCCACTAGTCTTGGTGTCACCTGCAAACTTACTAACCATGTTTTCTATATTCTCATCTAAATCATTTATATAGATGACAAATAAAAGTGGACCCAGCACCGATCCCTGTGGAGCACTGCTGATCACAGGCTGCCAGTGCAAAAAAACCCCTCCATAGTCATTCTCTGCCTCCTGTCATTAAGCTAAACATGTATACAATTGGCAAGCTCACCCTGAATGCCACATGATATAACTTTACTAATTAGGCTAACATGTGGAACCTTACCAAAGGCTTTACAAAAGTCTAACTAAACAATGTCCACCACTCTGCCCTCATCAATCTTGGTTACTTCCTCAAAAAACTTGATTAAGTTTGTGAGGCACCATTTCCCTTGCACAAAATCATGCTGGCTATCCCTAATTATTCCTTGCCTCTCCACGTGCATATAAATCCTAGCTTTCAGAATCACTTCCAACAACTTAGCCACCACCAAAGTCAGACTCAGAGGTCTTTAGTTCCAAGGCTTTTCCTTGCAAACCTTCTTAAACAAAGGCACAACATTAGCCATTCTCCAATCATCCAGCACCTCACCTATAGTGATAGATAATACAAACATTTCTGCAATCGCAATTTCCTCCCCAACCTCCCATAAAGTCCCGGGATACGCTTGATCAGGTGCTGTATCCACCTTTATATTTTCTAAGACCTTCAGCACTTCCACAAATGATGACAAAATCTCTGTTATTCTCCTCACATGTTTTCTGAGGGTTGAACGTAGGAGATTGCACAGTAACCCTAGCTGAGGTTGAGCAGAGAGCCTTGCAGCAGGAATAGACCCCGGTCAACGCAGCAGCTCAGGCAGCATCAGAGGAGAAGGAAACTTGACGTTTCGGGTCGGGACTCTTCGTCAGGAATCGGGTTCCGACCCGAAACGTCAACTTTCCGGCTCCTCTGCTGCCTGGCCTGCTGTGCTATCTCTGACTCTAGCATCTGCAGTTCTTACTATCTCTGAGTGAGTAATAGACCCGGGTCAGCTGTCTCGGGTGGCGGTCTTTCGGTTGGAGTCGTTGGGTGTTTCCAGGGTAACCAGAGGCGGGGCCTAGCGCCGCCGTCTGTCGCCACACCAAGTCGTTGCTTTGCTTTCGTTCTCACAGAGTGGGCAGTTTGGACAAGGGGCTACACTCAAATCTGTTCTCTTTTAACGAGGTTTTTTTTTAAAATCACTGTGCACTATTTTTAGTTTCTGAAACTCGGACCGAAGACTACCGCATCCTGCCATCGTTGAAACTAGTTTGAAATCTGCCCTGTTTACGAACCTCTTCCAGGACAAGGTTGATCAGCAGTGAGCTAAGTGTAACGAAATGAGGCCTTGCTGTTGTACCCCGTCTCACGGTCTGCGTTGCCTGCTCTACCATCTCACTTTTTGCTTTCCGGCTCTTGAGCTGCAACGCACTTAATGTGCATGCGGAGTGTGTAGGTGAAACTGTTTCCCGTCATCAGCGACGATGCTGGAAGAATACTGTGGATGCTAGGGGCTTTGGTTTGAATATGCATTATACTGCTACTTACAAGGGTTTCGGGGAAGTGTAACTAACAATGGGAGCCAGTCCCCCTTTATTTTTATGTATGGTATTTTTGGACAGAGTGAATTGGAGGTTGGAGCTTTGCTTACCTAACGATAACCCTTTTGCTGTGATAGGTGTGTGCCGGAAATTACGGTGAGAATTCTAAGTGAGAAATTGGGCGGAAGATGAAACATAACTGAACGGGTCAATTACCTGCACTGATACTGTCCAGGCTTTTCCCCGTCGACTTTGTTAGATGTTAGTGTCGCCACATATTTTTTTCAAATCGCTATAGACACTCGCGCAGAAAAAAATGAATTTTAAGAATACATTTGAATGGAAGAGCATTGTAATTTTGTAATATATCCAAACGTTCACATTGTAAAGGTAGAACACAGCGATTTAGTGTTTTGAAGCTAGTCTGAATCCTGTTTCTGCCGAATAGTTTGTTATAATTCACACTTAATTATGTGTTAGGAGGTGTCATAGAATCCCTACAGTGTGGAAGCTGGCCATTTGGCCCATCGAGATCACACCGTTCCTCTGAATAGCATCTCACCCAGACCACGCCCTTACCCTATGTCTGTAACCTTGCATTTCCCATGGCTAACCCACCTAATCTACACATCCCTGGACATTATGGGCAATTTAACGTAGCTAGTCCACTGAACCTGCACATCTTTGGACTGTAGGAGGAAACCAGAGCACCTGGAGGAAATCCATGCAGATACCGGGAGAATGTACAAACTTCACACAGTCACCCAAGGGTGGAATTGAATCCTAGTCATAGGCACTAGTGTTAACCACTGAGCCACTGTGCCACCCTGTGTGTTTAGAACCATCTCATATCAGACTGTTTGAATCAGCTTGAGAGGCAGTTGGAGTCACTGGGGAGCATACAGAAGACACAGGATGTGGTGGTTAGTAAATTTAGAGAGGTGGTCACACCACTGGTCCAGTCAGATAGATGGGTGATTGTCAGGAGAGATAGGAAGGTAGTGCAGGAGTCTCCTGTGATTATTCCTCGTTCAAACAGATGTACCATTTTTGGCTACTATTAGGGAGATACTCTCTCAGAGGAAAATAGAAGAGGCATCCAGATCGTGGGAACCAAGAATGAGCATTCTGTTAAGCAGGGTTTCTCAAGATTCAAAAGAGTAATTGCTATAGGGCCATAGACAGGAGATTCTGTGCCCATGAGCAAGAAAACAGAATGGTATGTTGCCTCCCTGGTGCCAGGGCCATGGACGTCTCAAAGTGGTTGCAGCATATTGTAAAAGGGGAGTGTGAAAAGCCAGAAGCTGTTGTACACATTGGTAAGAACAACATAGTTAAGGAAAAGGTTGAGACTTTGCAGAGTGAATACGGGAAGTTACGTAGGAGGTTAAAAAGCATAAACTGAAAGGTAGTAATCTCTGAATTACTTCTGGTGCCACATGCTCGGGAGAGTAGGAATAGGAAGATAGGGCAGCTAAATCAATGGCTGAGGAGCTGGTGCAGGGGGCAGGGATTCAGATTTTTGGATCATTGAGATCTCTTTTGGGGCAGAAGAGACCTGTTAAGAAGAGATAGGTTTCACCTGAACTGAAGGGAGACTAATATCCTGGTGGGGAGGTTTGCTAGTTCTATTTGGGAGCCTGTTAAACTAGTGGGTGAGTGGAGATTCTAAGTAGAATATGATAATAGAGACATAGATGTGGAAGGTTCTGAAGCTGAAGAGAGCAAGTTAATTAGAAAAGGCAGGCAAAAACAAGCCAGAGAACGAGGTAAATCTGAAGAGTTAAACTGCATTTATTTCAAAGCAAGGGGTCTACAGGTAAGGCAGTTGAACTCAGGACATGTATGGAAACATGGGAGTGGGACATCATAGCTATTATAGAAACATGGCTGAGGGAGGGACAGGACTGGCAAGTCTGTACTAGGGCTGAGATGCTATAGGAAGGATAGAAAGGGAGGCAAGAGAGGAGGGGCAGTGGCATTTTTGATTAGGAAAAACATCACTGCTGCACTTAGCTTAGTTCTGAGTGATTGTCCAGTGAAGCTTTGTGCATGGAACTCATAAATAAGAAGGGGATGATCACCTTGACAGGATTGTACTGTACTCCCTCCAGATGTCAGTGGGGAAATGAGAAGCAAATATGTAGAGATATCTCAGATATATGTAAGAATAATAGGGTTATAATCGTAGGAGATTTTAACTCTCCAAACATAGACTGGGACTGCCATAGTGTTAAGGCCTAGTTGGTGAAGAATTTGTTAAATGCATTCAAAAAAATTTTCTTTATTAACATGTGGATGTACTAAATAGAGAAGGAGCAAAACATGACCTTGTCTAGGGAAATAAGGCAGGCAAGTGACTCAAGTGTTAGTGGGGGAGCATTTTGGGACCAATGATCATAATTCTATTAGTTTTAAAGTAGCTATGGAAAAGGGTAGATCTTTTATAAAAGTTAAAGTTCTTAATTGAAGTAAAACACATTTTGACATATAAGTCAGGAACTTTCAAAAGTTGTTTGGGGTAGTATGTTCGCAGGTAAAGGGACGACTGGCAAGTGGGAGGCTTTCAAAAGTGTGATAACGAGAGTTCAGAGACATTATGTTCCTGTTAGAGTGAAGGGTAAGGCTGGTAATTCTCGGCAATAATGGATGAATAAAGGTATCGTGGCTCTGGTCAAAAACAAAAAGGAGACATATGTTAAGTATAGACAACTGGCATCGTGTGAATCTCTTGAAGAGCATAGGGAGTGTAGGGGCATTCTTAAGGGGGAAATCAAGAGGGCTTAAAGGGGAAATGAGATAACTTTGTTACATAATGTTAAGGATTATCCAAAGAGATTCTGCGATTACATTAAGAGCAAAAGAATAACAAGGGAGAGAATAGGGCTCTTTGAAGAACAACAATGTTGTCTACGTGTCGAACCGTAGGAGATATGAGACGAATATTTCATGTCAGTTTTTAACGTGGAGAAAGACATGGAGGCTGGGGAACTTGGGGGAAATAAATATTAATGTCTTGAAAACAGTCACATTACAGGAACAGAGGTGCTGGAGGTCTTAAAAAACATGAAAGGTGGATAAATCTCTGGGACCTGTTGTGGGAATTTAGGGAAGAATTGCAGAGCTCCTAGGTAAGATATTTATATCATCTATAGCCATGGGTGAGGTGTTGGAGGGCTGGTAGGTGATTAATGTTGTGCCTTTATTATAGAAAGATTGATGAGTCTGACATCAATGGTGGGTGAATTGTTGGAAGGGGTTCTAAGTTTAGAATTTACATACATTTGGAGAGGCAAGGACTGATTAGGGATAGTCAGCATAGCTCTGTGTGTGGAAAATTGTCTCTTAAACTTGATTGAGTTATTTTGAGGACGTAACCAAAAAGATTGATGAGGACAGAGAGGGAGACATTGTCTACATGGACTTTAGTAAAGCATTTGACAATGATCTGCATGGTAGGCTGATTAGTAAAGTTAGATCACATGGAATTCAGGGAGAGCTTGTCAGTTAGATATAATTGATGGTAGGAGACAGAGGGTGGTGGTGGAGGATTTGATTTTTAGTCTGGAGGCCGATGACCAGTCTTGTTCCACAAGGATTGGTGCTGGGTCCACAGTTGTTTGTCATTTATATAAACAATCTAGATAAGAATTTGAGAGGAATGTTTGATAAGTTTGCAGATGACACCAAGATTGGCGGTATAGTCACAGTGAAGAAAGTGAAGATATTTGGACAGGTACATGAATGGGAAAGGTTTAAAGGGATATGGGCCAAATGCAGCCAACATGGACTAGTTTAATTTGGAAAACTTGATCAGCATGGATGAGTTGGACCGAAGGATCTGTTTCCATGCTGTATGACTCTATAGATAAAGATATTTTCTAATCACCCTGTTCAGATATGCTATTACATATCTCTGGGCAGATGAGAATTGAACACAAGCGTCCTGGCATAGAGGTAGGGATAGCTGACCAAAAAAGTGAAGACAACTTCACTGCTCCTTGATTAATAATAATGGAATATTTGTTATCCTTATTGGAAAAGCAGAACCTTAGTTTAATGGCTTGTCCAAGAGACTTATGCTTACAATGTGGTACTTCTTCAGTTTTGAAATGATAGCCTGGATTCAAAATCTTCAATCTTTGATTGAGATTTGAATCTATAAGTTTTTGTCTTAATGATAAACATGCTTCTAACTTAAATGTATGATTTCTGTAATTAAAATGTGTTTATATTATATATTTTACTGTGATTGGCCTGTACCAGTGATGAGTGAGGTGCCCTCCACTGTAATTTAGACACTTTGAAACAATGTTCTTTTCAATCATAAAGCTTATAGGTTGACAGGATAATTCTAATTCTATGTTTCATTTGTACAGATGACAACTGATACTTGAAACATGTCACGTTCACCAATACCACCAATACATGTTGGTGCTACAGCACCTGAATCATTTACTGTGCTGCAACATCGGATCATTGCAGCTGAGGAGCAGACAGAGGCATTAATTCAAGAGTTAGATGACCTTGGATTTGGTGTTGAGGACTCGGAGGCATCCAAGATTGGTGAATGTAACAGTCACAGGCCTGTAAGTCCCTTCCATGTCAGAAAAGCTTTTGGAACTGAAAATGATGTACTCTGGAAAAACTATGAATCTCTCGTGAGTCGTGTCTGCCGGTTAGAAAGTGTAATACAAACAATGAAGTTGAATTTATTTCGAATACAGACGGCAAAAGAACTGAACCCAGAGCTTTCAGGTAATTGAAAAATGCATATTTCTGTAATTAATTGCATAATGGATTTTCATAATGTTTATGAAGTTAAATTAATGAGAGTATCTGAGCTCCACACCTATAATATAGATGAGAAATGGTTTCAATGCAGTCTGTTTATCCTAATTATATCTTAACTATCCCCCTTCATTTCTCTGCAGCCTTTGATACTGTCAACCACACCATCCTGTTCTAATCTTCCCTTGGTACCAGTCTTACCTATTTGGTCATAGTCAATCTCCTGTTTTCACAATGTTACTTCTTGGGATTTCCAACAATATTTCTGTGGTCTCCTTTCCTATTCTTGGAAGCTCATGCAGGTATTCTCATCTCTCACTATTATCCTCTTGATTCCTACACTGCCTCTGTGCTGTCAGATTGGTTCTTAAAATTCAGACACAGGTAAACATCAGGTAAAACCATTGTTTTCAGTCCCATCACAAATTCCACGACCTAATTATTGATTCATCCTCCCTCTCTGGCTGTTGCAATATTAGAGTCTTAATCAACTCTTGATTTGAGTCTCCTATCCAGTATGCTCTCCAAAGCAAAGATCTACTTACAAAATTCATCCAAGTATTTTTCAGGTCCAGACTTCAACATACTTGAAGGGCATAGCCTCAAGATTAGAGGGAGCAGATTTAGGACTGAACTGAGAAGGAATTTCTTCACCCAGAGGGTTGTTAATCTATGGAATTCCTTGCCCAGTGAAGTAGTTGACGCTACTTCAGTAAATGTTTTTAAAAAAAAGGTAGATTTTTTTTGAACAATAAAGGAATTAAGGTGAGAATGTGGGTAAGTGGATCTGAGTCCACGAAAAGATCAGCCATGATCTTATTGAATGGCGGAGCAGGCTCGAAGGGCCAGACGGCCTACTCCTGCTCCTAGTTCTTATGTTCTTATGTACTAATGCTTTCTTGGCAGCCTGCAAACCACATAGTCTTTAAACTTCAATTAGTCCAAACCTCTGTGCCCACATCCCATCCTGCACCACATCCTGCTCATTCATCACTGTATCTTTTTCCTTAATGACTTGCCCATTCCTTTTATAGAGTCACAGAGTCATACAGCACGGAAACAGACCCTTCGGTCCGACTCGTCCATGACAACTAGTTTTCTCAAGCTAAACTAGTCCCACTCGACTACTTTTGGCCCATAAGCCTCTGAACCTTTTCTGTTTATGTACCTGTCGAAATGTCTTTTAAATGTAACTGTACCTGCATTTACCACTTCCTCTGGCAGTTCTTTCTACGTAAGAACCATCATCTGTATGTAAACGTTGCCCCTCAGGTCCCTTTCAAATCTTTTTCCTCTCATCTTAAAAATATGCCTCCTAGCTTCGAATTCCCCCAATGTAGAGAAAATACCTTTGCTATTTACTTTACCTGTGTCCCTTGTGATTTTATAAACCTCAAAAAGATCACCCCTCAATCTCCTATGCTCAAATGATAAAAGTCCCAGCTTGTCCAATCCTGACGACATCCTTGTAAATCTTTTCTGCACCCTCTCCAATTTAATAATATCCTTCCTATAGCAGGACGACCAGAACTGTACACAGTACTCCAAAAGTTGCCTCACCAATGTCTTGTACAACCTCAACATGACATCCCAACTCCTAAACTCAATGGTCTGAGCAATGAAGGCAAGCGTGCTAACCACCCTCTTAACCACCTTGGCCACCTGCGATGCAACTTTCAAAGAAGTATGTACCTGAACCCCTAGGTCTCTCTGTTCGATAATACTACCCAGGGCCCTGCCATTAACTGTATAAGTCCTACCCTTGTCATTTAACCAAAATGCAATACCTCATATTTATCCAAATTAAACTCCATCTGCCACTCCTCAGCCCGTTGACTCGATTGATCCAGAGCCCGAATGTAGTCTTAGATAACCTTCTTCCCTGTTGACTATACCACCAATTTTGGTGTCATCTGAAAACTTACTAGATGTCCACCCCCATCCTATTAGTTCCTGTCTCCCCATCATTCTTGTGCCCATGTACTGACGGCTGGGGTCGCACCTTTCTGGAATTCTCTCTCTAATATTCCCCACCTCTTTATCTCTCACTTTTATTATGATCCTCCTGAAACCCAAATCTTTGATCAAGGTTTAGGTCATCCTTCCTGATGATGCCCTCCTGTTATCTGAGCATCTTTTGTTTTCTGTTACTGCTCTGTGATATACCTTTGTGATATTTTTCTACATTTAAACATGTTACGTAAATGCTTCAATGCAATAATTTGGTTCTGATTTTATTAACTTAATTCTTGATATTACAGAGTAATTACTGAAAAAGATGTAATTTGTGCAGATGTGTATATGTTCATGACTAAATGAAAGATTCCAAATTCTGCCTGAACAACTCAGTCACTTAGAAGGCTGAACTTCCTACTCTGATAACCAGTTGAAATGACCACATCTGTATATTGTAAAATATGCCTTGCATTGATTACAAATCATACAGACTTTCGCAACTCCAGATCGGAAAGTGTGTAACTTTGAAACTTTCACACATTTGTTAAAATACAGTTGTTTTAAAGAGTACAAAGATGCTTAGCACGAAGCAGATGACTGTCTTCTTTTCTATCTTGTTGCAGTCGATCGACTAGCTGCCATGGAGGAAGAACATGTTCAAGAGCTAAAGAAAATGCAGCGGGAGGTAATGCACTTCCGACAGCAGTTGAGTGAAGTTAGTGAAAAAAAGGAGGCTGCTCAGGAAGAAATAGAAAGGCTGAGTGCTGCTCTTGAGATGGCCACAGCAACTAAGGTACACAACCGAGGTATACAACAAAGCTCGATTAGTGTTACAAATTTAGAGAAAATTTATGCAGAATCCTTGATGTGGTGGTTTGTTTGCATGAGGTAACGAAATTGTGTTCAGATTTATGGTGAATCATTGTTCTTTTTGTTTTTCTCTTTCTAGACGGATGTGACTATGGCAGCGGAAGAATTACGTGTAAAAAAAGACAGAATTAGCCGAAGATTGCAAGAGGTTAGAGTGCAAATCTCTATTAAAATCGGAAATGGTGGAAGTAGCAATCCTTTCTCACAAATGTTAATAACATGACGATCTCATCATGTCGAGACATTGTTAACAGTTTCAATTAGCTCTGCACTGCAGTTACTGACCAAATATTTTATTTGTGTTACTCGTTTATAATTATAAATAACAGGGAATTGCACAAATAGAGAAAGTATGTCAATTCTGTATTTTGTCTGTCTCCATCACAACACTGTGCAAGATGACAGCCTCCAATTTCTATAACAATAAAGGCAAAGAGGGCAGTTTTGAACTTGAGCTGAAAATGGAGGCTGGATTGCTGGTGTGTCTCTGACATCCACCACCGATTTCTTCTGGAACCCCAATCATTTTTAGGTCTGAGCCTTATTAGAATATAGACTGAAGCTGTCCAAATCCGTGAGTAATTTGGTAACTTCATGTGTAAGTCAAGCCAGAAAGCTATGACAAAGAATAATCATATACACCAGGGTATCAGACATCGTTTTTCCTACTGTTACGTTCAAACTGGGAGTTAACACTCAATCTAACTTGATGAGTTCTGAGGATATGAACAACATAAAATCAGTAACTTGACTCAAAGATGAAAACAATTTGATTCTGAAATATATCAAAGCAGATTTGAACGTTGATTAGGAACAAGATGGATAATGAATGACAAGGCAGTGAAGAAATGAGCCACAAGAAAGGATAGTGGGGAAACTGCAGGTCTTGAGAAGATGTTACGTACATTGTAAGGCATGAGCAAGAGCACAAATAAAAAGGAGTAAGGCATACAGTGGGAAGGTTGAGTTTGTCAGAAGTGAGCTTGAGGGATAAATTATGTGCTAAATTGTACAAAGGTTTTGGGAAAAATAAAGTATAAGGAACAGGGTGTAGTGGTAGGTAATGAGAAGGAAATAATTTAAGTGTAGAATCTGCAGTTTCTAAACATCTGCTTACCAAAATTTGTAGCCCTTTGGAAAGAGAACAAAAGATGCATTTTGCCACTTAATCCGTATTGTCAACTGATGTTATGTATGAACTGGTTTTCAGATGCAAAAGGAATTGGTCCAGGAAGTGAGCCTCCGTAAAGCTCTGGAAGAATCCCATACTCACTTGCTGCAGCGTGTTCAGGATATGGAAAATGCAGTGGAGGTTGAAAGAACGCAGGTGCTTGCTTTGCAGCAAATTTAAAACTGCCATGATCTGATAATAAACTTTGTTCATTGTGTTTTTGTGACTTTTACTTCTGTATTCCTACTGACCTCAATCACTTAACCTTTTGAAGTTTAAATAATTTATTTAAACGAATGGGTATGCTGTTAAGTGAACTTCTTTGTCATTCAGCATTCTGTTCTAGCCTTCACTGGAATGAAATGTTGAACTCTGCCTTGCTCTACCACAGTTCCAACTTAGTTATAATCTTGCTCCTGAACTTGATGTTGCCTTGATATAGCCATAACATTGACTACAAAGCTCCTATGATATTTGTTTGTCCAATCAGCCCTCACTTCTACCTTTGTTTGTACCTTTGTCCTAGAACAAAGCACAAAGAACGCTACAACACAGGAACAGGCCCTTTGACTTTCCAAGCCTGCGCCGACACATTTTGCCCTTCCATACTAAAGCTGTCTTCACTTACAAGATCCGAATCCATCTATTCCCTTCCTATTCATGTATTTGTCCAGGTGCTTCTATGCTGCTATTGTGTCTGCTTCCACCACCACCTCTGGCAGTGAGTTCCAGGCACTCACCACCCTTTGTGTGAAAAACGTGCCTCTGACATCTCTCTTAATCTCCCCTGAACCTGTGTCCCCTAGTAATTGACCCCTCCACCCTGGGAAAAAACCTTATACTCTTTCCTCTATCCATGTCATTCACAATCTTATGAACATCTATGAGGTTGCTTCTCAACCTCCTGCATTTCAGTGAAAACAAACCCAGTCTGTCCAACCTTTCTTCATAGCTAAAGTCACCCATACCAGGCAACTTCCTGGTAAACCTTTTCTGTACCCTCTCCAAAGCATCCACGTCTCTCTGATGTGTGGTGACCAGAACTGTAGGCAATATTCTATGTGTGACTTAACTAAAGTCCCTTAAAGCTCTAGCATAACTTGCCTATCCTTATGCTATGTGAAGGCAAGCATGCCATAGGCCTTTTTCATTACCTTACCTACCTGCTCTGCCACCTTTGGTGATCTGTGGACCTACACACCCAGATCCTTCTACATATCAGTACTTGTCAGGGTTCTACCATTCACTGTATAAATTCCACCTGTACTCAAAATGCATCACCTCACATTTGTTCGGATTAAACTCTATCTACCACTTCTACGCCCATGCCTCCAACCGATCCATATTCTGTTGTATCCTCTGACAATCCTCCTCATTATCCACAACTCCACCAATCTTTGTATCGCCTGCAAACTTAATAATTAGACCAGCTTCGTTTTCCTTCAAATCGTTTATGTAGACCATGAACAGCAGAAGTCCCAGCACTGATCCCTGTAGAACACCACTACTCACAACCTCCATTCCAAAAACCATCCTTCCACCGCTACCATCTGTCACCGATGACTAATCCAGTTCTATTTCCAGCTTGCCAGCTCACCCCGATGCCATGCGACTTCACCTTCTGCACCAATCTGCCATGAGGGACCTTTTCAAATGCTTTACTGAAGCCCATGTGGTCAACATCAATTGTTTTTCCTTTATCAATCATCTTTGTCACTTCCTCAAAAAACTCAATCAAGTTAGTGAGGCATGACCTCCCCTGCACAAAACCATGATGTCTGTCACTCGTAAGTCTATTCACTTCTAAATGTGTATAGATCTTGTCCCTGAGCATCTTTTCCAATAATTTCCCTACCACCAATGTGAAGCTCACAGGCTTGTAATTTCCTGGATTATCCCTGCTACCCTTCTTAAACAATGGGACACCATTGGCTATTCTCCAGTCCTCTGGGACCTCTCCTGTGGCCAAAGAGGACACAAAGATGTCTGTCAATGCTCCAAAAATTTGTTCTCTTGCCTTCCTCAATATTCTGGGATAGATCCCATCAGGGCTGAGACTTCGCTACTTTAATACTTTTAAGATGTTCAACACTTCTTCCTTTTTAGTAGCAAGATAGTTTTCAGTTCTTCCTTTTTAATAGCAGTTAATCTTCTTTTCTGGTTGTAGGAATGGGGACAAGAGAGCAGGAGTTGGGTCTTATGGACAAGTTGAGCTTGGAGAGGGCATATGAGGAGATAAGGGAGTCTGATATGAGTTTTGAACTAGGACCAAAAACCTCTGAGCAGGTTGTACGTTTGCCCTGCTGATTTCCTCTGGGTGCTCCGGTTTTCTCCCACAGGGATCAGTGCTGGGACCTCTGCTGTTCATGGTCTACATAAATGATTTGGAGGAAAACGAAGCTGGTCTAATTTTTAATGTGCATGTTAGGTGGATTGACCATGCTAAATTGCCCATGGTGTCCAGGGATGTGCAGTCTAGGTGGATTAGCCATGGGGAATGCCAGGTTACAGAGACGAGGTGGGGGCAGGGCCGGGCTGGGGCCTTTGGAGGGTCAGTGTGGACTTGATGGGCTGAATGACCTGTTTCCACATTGTAGGAATTCTACAAACAAAAAGCAACCTCCTAACAATTATCGTTGGAGGTGAGGGTCAAAGAGACAGGGGAGCGGGATTTGTGAAAAGCTCTTGCAGTAGTGAAAAGATGCTGGGGTTTAATCTCTGCATTCCAGGATGATGCTCCAATAGTGAGTAGCTTTAGCAGCTGAGGTCTGGACCCATATGTCTTTCTGGCCCAACCAGATCCCATGTTGCTTGGCTAAATTACTTCTCCAGGTATCTATTCAAAGCTGCTTCCCTTGCAGTTGAGGGAGTGATGATGTGGGCCATGCCAGAGAGAATGACTGGCATATGAGAGTTTTGTTGGGGCATAGGTTATCAAACAAAGCTGAAATATGGCTGAGTAAATGATTAGCTGCAAAAATGTAATGTGAGTCAGGGAGCCAAAGGCTAGACAATTGCAATTTTGCAAATAGAGATATAAGTGAATTGAAGATACTTTCTTCCAGGGGTGTACATAGAAAAAGTTAGAGCTCAGATGTGGAGGGGAGTGTGGGTGGAGATAGTCTTGTCTGTACTCACCGTAGTGGGATTTTGAACCCAAGTGAGATGGAAAGGTCAAGTAGGTGACCATGAATATGGCTGTAAATATATTGGTGATTGCTGAAAAATTTCATAATGTGTTCACTTAGGTCAAGGTCCTGCAGCAGGACATAGTCACACTCAGGAATGATGGGGAGATAACTCGGGAGAGCCTGCAGCTTGAGCAGCAAAAAACAAGTGATTTGGAGAAAATGAATAAGCAGCTAAAAATAGAATCAGGTATTGAAACTCATTTAATACTGCACTTTCAGCTTCTTGGATTTAAGGTATAATTAATTGTGAAGATTGGCTCTGATGCCTGTCTACATTACTAGAGTGTATGCACTTTAAAAGTATTCCATTCTGGCTGCAACATGTTTTGCAGTATCCCAAGAATGTGCTATATAAATGTACATTCTTTATATCCCTTGGATAGAATGGTTTTAGTGCTACTTTTTATTTTGGAGAATGAGCCGCACTTCAGTATTAGCTTGCCTAGCTCTGAGTCAAAAGGCTATGAATTTGAGCCCTAATCCAGACAGCCTCAGTGAGTGGAAATGGAAGTTCTAACATGGAAAGTTTAGTTTTTTAATTTTGCTGAAATCTACATTAAAGCAGCCAGAACCTAGTGCGACACCAGTGGTGTTCCATGCTGGGAAGAGCATTAGAGAAGTGCAATGTGTGTACCCTGAACGTTTAAGCAGTGGGTCAATTGTGGCATCATACAACCCCTCCTCCTTCAGCTTCACTTCGCTATTTAAAGGGCCAGTCAAATAATTTGCAGGCGAGTTGCTAATGATTTACAGTTGTTCTGACACAGTTTGTGAAAGAACTGTGGTATATCTTGGAGGAGTTCTGGTGAGTTGCTAGATTTGCAAGCAAGTTGCTTTAAACCTGTTCACATAAATGTTGCTACAGATGTACAGTCCTTCTGAGACCAATTGGTGACAGGGAATGAAACTAAGGAGGCTTAGAGTGGAAACTGCACAGGAAGGAGGAGGGCTTTTGACAGAAGATCTTAACCATTAATAGTTATCAGGAAGTACTTCTGCCTCAATATCAGCCAGAAGCAAGCCTGAGACAGATGAGATTCCCCAAGGAGAAGTTTTATCACCTGTAGTGGAACCTTGCAACCTCCTTTCCAGACAGTAGGAAGTCATTTAGTCCATTGTGGTTGCATCAGTTCTCCAAATTAGCAATTCAGCCAATTACCTTATGAAACAAAATTACCTGTATCTTTATACTTATTAACAATTTCTAAAGTTAATTATAACTTCTGTGTTTCAGAGTGTATTGAATGCTAGTGCATATGAAATGATTGTTACGTAGCAGTGAATTATGTGCAGTTCACATTATGCACCATTTCAAGATAAAATGGTGTGTTCTGCCACTGCGATGCATGTAATTATGCAAAATTTATACTAACTCTTTGGAGAAATATTTGTTTAATTTCTCAAGGAATGATGTCACTGGCAGCCTGGCCATCTCTAGCTAAAAGCAATTTGAGTGACTTACCAGACCATTACAGTGCTAAAAATCCAACCATGTTGGTGTGGAACTAGAGTCTCACATAGGCCAGACTGGATGAGGATGACAGCTTTCCATCCTTCTTGTACTTTAGATTCAGCAACTTTCTGGATGAGGATTATGGATTAGGTTTCAAACTTTGGACATTTAAGTCTGCACACATAAGGAGTGGAATTGTTTCATGGAGCTATCTGAATGGCTTTGCCTAAGTTCTCTAAGGTTTTAAAAAATACACTGCTAATAATCTGGGACCACCTTTCTTGACTATATCACAATTACACCTGCAATTTTAGAGTCACTTTTACTGTGGTGCTGTGATGTGGCAGTGTTTTGTTTGTGATTTGATTGGAAACATGAAATGCTTAATGGAAAAGCTTTGGCTCTTGCCCATCCTTTGGAGATCCATTTGATAGCGTGTGGTTTTGCTTTCTAGATACGAAAGAATCCATTATATCTCAGATGGCTGATGAAGACAAAGTGAGTTAGCTAAAAAAAGAATCTTTTGATGTTTATTTGTTGTTGATTATAACCTCAAATCATTGGTATTCTGAAACACATTTATCTCTTCAGAAAGTACAACTGATATTAAGCAAACAGCAAGAAGAAAAATTCAAACTTCAGAGTGAGATTTTATCGTTGAAGGATGTGGCAGAAAAAATGCAGGTGAGAGTGACTTTTGTTATTGATGTTATTTAGTTTTTATGTCTAGTACAATTCCTACTTGCATTGGATTATGTTTAAGTAGATGTGTGGTAGTTTTAATTTCAAATCTGGTATGACTCCTGTTCAGAGTGAAGAAGAGTCATACCCAACTCGAAACATTAACTCTGTTTCTGACTCCACAGGTGTTGCCAAATCTATTGAGTTTCTTCAGCATTTTCTGAGTTTGTTTCAGGTTTCCAGATCCATAGTACTTTGTCTTCATTCAGTTGCTGTAATTCCTGTTTTATTCTGTAATCACATTGTAAATTGGCATGTTTGAAGATTTTATATCTTGTTGTTTTTTTCTGCCAGGCTTTGAATGACCAGCTAGATACACAGTGCACTGAACTAAGTAGTGCACTATGCTCTCTTTCTATGGAGAATGCTAAACTTATATCAGAACATGAAGCATCCCGAAAGGTTTGCAAAGCAAATTACTTTGTGTTAACTTTTTTCTTCTAAATTTACACTAATATGTTATAAAGAATATTTTATTAGAAGTTTGAATGATGTATTGGATAGAATTTTGTTTTGATGTAGCAAACAATTGTATAGATAAATGGTATGCAGTTTTCATAGTGTATGAAGGTTTTTGGAAGGGATTTAAAAGCCATCTTATAGTAAAAGTTTTACATGGCTGACAAAATTTAATGACAAATAGAAAATTGTTTGGAGAGGGAAAATCTAATTGGGGCTAATGGCTACTTCGTGGTTAGAAGAAGAGTTGAAAGTGGTATATTCAGGAGGCAATGCTGTGTGAATTGGCCAGAATGTTGTTGGTATGGCAAGGGTCTTGACAAAGGGTCCAAAAGATGGGGTAGGACCTCCTTGGCTGTTTGTTGGACTCTCAGCATCATCTAATTTGGCCATCATCTAATTTGTCACCTTCCGGTGCCCCTGCCTCTTTACAGAATGAGCACACACCCAGTTGAGCTGGCATTAAATCACAGCAACACCACTGCTGGGACTGTGTCTGGACGAAGAGGATGCCACGGGAGCAGACTTCCCTTTCAGCTGTTGAGTGGGATCTGGAATCTCTCGGGCATGTTAGGCAGGCTTCAATGAAGGGAGGGGAATTGTTACAATCGTTCATGTGTCTGTTTTGTTTCACAATATATGAACAAGGCCATTTTCTGACCATCACAAATGCCTTTGAGAAGATGGTAGTAAACTGCCTTCTTGGCCTGCTGTAGCTTATATGGTATTAGCACCATTAGGCAGGGAATTCTGGGTTATTGACGTAGCAATAATGAAAGAAAAGTTATATAGGTGCAAGTCTGGATGGTGTGTGCCATGTAGAGGAACTCAAAGGTGGAAGTGGTTCCAAGTATCTGCTGCCATTGTTCTTCTAGATAGGTTGGAAGGTCCTGTCAGAGACGGCTTGGTGAGTTGCTGCATTTCATCTTGTATATGCTGCACACCGCTGCTACTTTGTGGTGAAAGTGAAGGAGTATGTGTTTAAAGTGGTGTGTTTGTGATATACAGTTCACTCCGGGAGTCTGAGTTGTTACATTACCCTGCACTTTTTATTTGGATGTTGTATCCTGGAGTTATGGATAGAGATGGTAGAGATGCCAGCATTCTTTCTATCAGATAGCTGACCAAGAATCTTTACCATTCTTCATGCCCACCATTGGTTTATACAGGAGGGATATTCAACTTGTTTGGCCACATTGTGAATGCACCTTCCTGGGTCACTAGATCCTGATGTGAGACTTGAACCCAGAGCTTCTGCCTTAGGGGGAGTTTACTGTCCACAATCTTTATTTTTTTTAAATATGATGCATGGGATGCAAATCAAACTGGCTGCATGGTTCTGAATAGTATTGATTGTTGTTGGAGCTGCCCTAGTCCCCGTAATTGGACAGTGATCTGTCACACACTTGAATCGTGCCTTCTGGATGGTGGACAGGATTTTTATTTGCCTGGTCCAGTTCAATTTCTGATCAGAGTAGAATCATGAAATCCCCACAGTGTGGAAAAAGAATGTTTGATCCATCAAGTCTGCACCGACCCTGGAAGAGCATCCCACTCAGACCCAGCTGCATCCCCATAACTTCACATTTACCATGGCCAGTCCACCTAACCCACATATCTTTGGACTGTAGGAGGAAACTGGAACACTCGGCAGAAAACCATGCAGACGCAGGGAGAACGTGCAAGTAGACAGTCACCCAAGGCTGGCGTTGAACCTGGGTCCCTGGTGTAGTGAGGCAGCAGTGTTAACCATTGAGCCACCATTCCACCTGTAAACGCCAGGCAATTTATGCTAGGGGAAAGGATAACAAAGATAATGCCATGATTTTCAAGGGAAGATGGTTAAATTCTCTCCTTTTGCAAATAATTATTGCCTGGTGTTGCAAAAGTGGTACTTGCCACTTATCAGTTTAAGCCTGAATGTTGTCCAGGTCTTGCTGAATTTGGATATGGACTGCTGCAGTACCTGAGAAGTCTCAATTAGCACCGAAGGCTGCCATTATCAGTGAACCTTCTCAGTTCTGAACTTTTGCCATGGGGAGGTCACTGATGAAGCAACTTAAAACAATTGTGCCTGCAACACTACCCTCAGAGCTCCTGCATCAAAGCCCTGACACAACTCTCCAGTAGTATTGCAGGATGTGTCAGGGTTCCTCTTTTTATACTTGAAGAGGTATAACAACATAGATTTACCAATTGACAACAGTAAAGGAGGAGGCATTGGTTTCACCGGAGTTTGCAACCCTTAACTGTCCAAAATTATGGAGCTGCCTGCTGACCCAATTACATAAAAGCTACCCATGTGTCGTAGAGATCTCTGTTAAGTTGGTTTCAAGTGAGAGAAATATGATAATTGATGCACTCCACAGTTTGTCAAAGCTGCTCTGTCAACACCTTCTAAACTCATGATCTCTGCTACCTATAAGAACAAGGGTAGCAGTTGCATGGGAAGACCACCATGTCTACAATGAATGTTTACTAGACTGATCCCTGAGATAGCAAGACTGATGTATGAAGAGAGCCTGGACTGCTCAGGACTCTTCACTGAAGTATAGAAGAATGAGGAGGGATCTCCTAGAAACCTATAAAATTCAAACAGGATCAGACAGGCCAATGCAGGAAGCATGTTCCCAATGACCAAGGAGTCTAGACCAGCAGTCACAGTTTCAGGACATGGGGTAGGTCATTTAGGATTAAGATGAAAAGAAATTTCTTCATCCAGAGAGTGGTGAGCCTGTGGAATTCTTTGCCACAGAAAGTAGCCAAGGGCAAAACTTTGAATGCTTTCAAAAAAGAAAAGTTTGATGTAGTTCATGGAACTAAATGGATCAAAGGGTAAGGGGAGAAAGCAGGAACGGGGAACTGAGTTGGATGATCAGCAAAGATGATGTTAAATGGCAGTGCAGGCTAGAAGGGCTGAATAGCCAACTCCTGCTCCCATTTTCTATCTTTCTCTCTTTGTTTTTCTAATTATGTTTCCAAAGGCAACATTTTGATCTGTAAAAGGAGGCACCCTGGAGTGGGTTCTCGGATGGAGGAATAAAACACTCTTGCTAGAATTGGATAGGTAAAAGTGAAACCAAGTAAAGCATTCCCACCAACTGGGTCAATAGAGTTGTCATGTGTATGTTGTACCAAAGACTTCAGAGAGATCAAGATGATGTAGATCATTATTGAAGATATGATCTATTTTTACATTTATTTCTTTATCTAACTACCTTCCAAAAAGGCTGAGCAGGAGAAAATGGATCTTCTACTGGATGCAGCAAGAGCAGCTATTTCAGCAGAACTGCACAGTGCAGTGAATGAGAAGCAACGGCTAAAGACTGAGTTGTGAGTATTAAATTTGTCATTGTTCTATCCATTCATAATCTAAGAAGCAATATGATGAATCATAGTCCAACACAGTTAGTTATATCATATAGTTCATTTGGAATTGGTACAGTGAACTGTGATGAAAGTTCATGAAATATTATTGTTTAGAATCTTGGGTTCTAATATGGACAGATAAGCTTTAAGTTTGATTTGTATTTCTATATTATGTGTGTTAAGAAGGGAAGAATTCAGTTTCATTTTTGAGTTCTGTGAGTGACATGAATAGTTCAGCACTTTAGATAACAAGAAGGAGAAGATGGAAAAAAATTGGCTATTTCCTGGTAAGAAAATGTTCTATGACACAGGGAAACAAGCAGAAATAGTCTTTTTAGAAAGAGAACCATCCAAAAGGTTAGGCAGCGTACAGATTTCTGTCAGAGAGACCAGGTTTTTCGCAGATATAGTGCTGTTAGCTGAGCAGTCTCCGAAGTTGTTTAGCCTGAAAGGAAGTCCTAAGTGATGTGACATCAGCAAGAGAAAGCCCTGTAAACAAAAGACTGTGGAAGAGGAGTTTAAGGAACTCATGTTGAGAAACAATTGAGTTGTGTTAGCAGTGTGGCTAGGTATCTCATGAAGAGACATTAACTGAAGAAGCCAGCACCATGGGAAAGCAGATGTTTTCCAGAAGGAAACCAAGCACAACTGGACTCTGAATAAGTAATTTTAAAGTGGAAACAGGTGACCCTTCATTGAGGTTTCAGTATCTATAACGTTGTTGAGAGTCAAAGAGTTGAATCTTTATTTCTGATACTTCTAATAAAAGTTTCAATTGGTTCTTATTTTATTTCTGAAAAATATGAAACTTGATTTTATCTGTAACTATGTTACCCATGTCCAGTCAGTATAATTACAAGATTTTTTTCATTATTCAGATATGTGTTACAAAACTACACTGCAAATGATTTCTTTTCACAAAGTTTTTATTGTAACTCATCAGAGAAACGTTAAGATTGGAGCATACTGAGATAAAGCAGAAACTTGAAACAGTGGAGGAAAAGGCAACAGCACATAAGTTGCTTCTTGAGTCTGCAATTGCCCAGCTGAAAGAGGAATTAAAGGCTGCAGTTAATGAATGTGAATGTATTAAACAAGGAAGGCAAACCCTACTGGACCAGGTAACTTTGATTTTGCCATAAGTTTGGTACCAGGAGGAGGAAAGCGAAGCAGCTTCCCTTCCCATTTCTGGAGAAGGGTCCCGACCTGAAATGTCAGCTTTCCTGTTCCTCTGGTGCTGCCTATCCTGCTGTGTTCCTCCAGCTCCACTCTTTTTTTATCTGACTCCAGCATCTGCAGTTCTTGCTATCTCAGCTTTTCATACTGATTAGGTTCTGTTAAATATGACATGCTACAATATATTAATACTATACTTTTAATTTTTGTAACTATCTGTATTATACCTGAGAAAATTGAAACTAACATTTTTATGTTTTGCTTCTTGTAAACATAATAGATTCTGCAGCTGAAAATTGATGAATATCTCCCCAACAAATAACTGAAATTTGCAATACCATGCACTTGTATTTATATTGATCTTAGCAGATCTATAACTGTTACTTTACCTACTGGTAATTCATAAAACTATTCAATTCTACTTATTAACTTTGATGTTCTGCTTGGGCTTTGTCCAACATTATTCTACTACGAGATAGCTTCATGGCAGGTCTCTAAGCAACTGTGTGCAATTTTCATTGTGAAACCTGCAGTTGTTGCTTTCTGTTGCCCTGAAGTAGCATAGTTTACGGATGTCAATTTGCCTTGATTAATGTAACCTGCTAATTGCAAATCACAAAGGATTCCCACGACAGCTCCTGACAATTCTGAATTATAATGTATCAAAATTTGGGATCGCTTTGTGTCGGCTAAAAATATTGATTTAATTGATTTTTAATCATGACTTAAAAAAACGAAGAACAGTAGGGAATTATGCTACGGCAAAGACGATAGCATTATTTACAATTGAGAACGTAAAACAAAAAAACCTATTGTTATTTCAGTTCCTAAAAATAATTCTTGAAAAGACATAATCCCCTGCTGTAATGTAGGAGCTGCAATTGTGTGCATTTCAAACAAATGTCAGCCAAATGCCAGAACTAAAATTCAGCAGCCATCCCTGGGATATTGTTCGATTTCCATTTAATGTAGAAGTAATTTGTAGATTCATGTTCATTTAGCATCCAACATTAAGATTGTATAAGTTGCTTCCATATGTTGGAATTGCATAATGTACCAAGTTTTAGGAAGGCGCAATTTACTGATTGTGAGTAGTATTTCTTTCGTCAGATTTCAACAAATGTCCAAAAAACGCACTTATGGCTTCAACAGCATGCTAAACTTCATCCAGCTGAAGTCAATTTGATAAATGCAAAGACAGTTAACTAAGGTATTCAATTGGGTTTTAGCCCAGTTGAGCTAAGAACAGTTGTATTTTCTGGATGAGTAGGAAGTTAAGTGTAAAATATCTGAAACAGGAATTCAACATTTCACAAAGCTTGTCCACTTTCAGTTTAATGGAAATAAATTGATTAATTTAGTGTTGTCACATGCATCAAGATACAGTGAAAAGTGTTGTTTTGCATGCTGTACAGGCATATTGTACCATACAAAGTGCATCAGGGTAGCAGATAAGTGAGCAGAATACAGTGTTACAGCCATAGACAAGGTACAGAGAGAGAGAGAGAGATCAGAATTAACATTTGAGAGGTCTGTTCAAAAGTTTGATAACAGCGGGGAAGAAGTAGTTCTTCAGTCTGTTCATATGTGTATTCAGCTTTTATTATCTTCTGCCCGGTGGAAGAGAGTGTAACCAGGACGGGAGAGGTCTTTGATTATGTTGGTTGCTTTCCCAAGACTGCGAGAAATATAGATGGAGTCAGCGGTTGAAAGGCTGGTTTGGACTGGGCCTTGTTCATGATTCTTTCTAGTTTCTCATGGTCTTGGCAAGAGCAGCTGCCATACCACACTGTGATGCATCCAGACCGGATGCTTTCCGTGGTGCATTTATAAAAATTGGTAAGAATCCCAGCGGACATGCAGAATTTCTTTAGCCTCCTGAGCAAGTAGAAGCATTGTTATGCTTTCTTCACCGTTGCGATGACTCGGGTGGACCAGGATGGATTGTTGGTGATCATCACTCCCAGGAACTTGATGCTCTCGACCATTTCCCCCTCAACATCATTGATGAAGACAGGGGCGTGCCCTCCACTCTGCTACCTGAAGGCATTGATCAGCTCCTTTGTAACATTGATGGAGAGATTGTTGTCTTTATACCATGCTGCTTAGTACTCGGTCTCTTTCATGTATTCTGTCTTGTCGTTGTTTAAGATCTGACCTACAACGGTGGTGTTGTCAGCAAAGTTGTAAATGCAATCGAAGTGAAATTTAGCCACACAGCCATGATTTTATAAGTACAGTAGGGGGCTGAGTACGCCATCTTGCAGGGCACCAGTGTTGAGGGTTATACTGGAGGAGGTGTTGTCGCCTCTTCTCACCGATTGCGGTCTGTGCAAGGATCCAGTTACAGAGGTGGGAACTGAGACTTAGGTCTTAGAGTGTAGAGATAAGTTTGTTTGGAATTATTCCATTGAAAGCGGAATTGTAGTCTATACGTAGGATCCTGATGCAGGTATCCTTGTTAACCAGGTGTTCCAGGGATGGGTGTAGGGCCAGGGAGGTGGCATCTGCTATGAACCTGTTTTGCGGTAGGTGAATTGCACAGGATCATGGCAATTTGGTGGGCAATTTGGTTAATGTGAGCCTCCCGGGCGGTAGGTTGATCATAGAAATCCTGTTGAAATAAAGGCGGGTGGCCTCCGTTGAAAGGTTTCAATGTCTGCCTGGTCAACTGCGTTTCCCAAGGCTCAGAAAACCCAGCAGATAAAGGCAGACAAGCAGGGCCCAGTCCAGTATGCAACAGTTTTCACAGCATTGCTGTTGGGCCAGGACGAGCAAGACTGTTTCCATCAAGCAAATGTACACTCAATTACCCATAATCCCTCTCTCTCGTCAGGTCCTTTTACCTGTAAACAGTCTACTGCAATCAACTTTTAAAAGTTCTTGTCTCATACTATTAAAATTTGCCTTAAAAACTTTAATTTTTATGGAAGGCTTATCCTTTTCCATAATCATTTTGAAACTAATAGAATTATGATCGCTAGACCCAAAGTGTTCCCGCACTTTTACTTCAGTCACCTGTCCTGCCTCATTGCCCAAAAGAAGGTCTAGTTTTGCTCCTTTTCTAGTAGGAACATCCACATATTGATAAAGAAAATTTTCTTGAGCATATTTGACAAATTCTTTCAAACCTTTAACACTATGGTAGTCCCAATCAATGTTTGGAAAATTAAATCCCCCATTATTACAACCTTATTATGCTTACATATATCTGAGATCTCCCTACATATTTGTTTCTCAATTTCTCTCTCCTATTGGAGAGTCTGTAGGACAATCCCATCAAAGTGATCTTTCCTTTCTGACTTGTAATTTCTACCCATATATTTTCACTGGATGATTTTTCAGAAGTATCTTCCCTAGTTACAGCAGTCATGTATTCCTTCATCAAAAATGCCACCCCCTTCCTTTCTTGCCTCCTTTTCTATCCTTCCTATAGCATCTAAAACCAGGAACATTGAGATTCCAATCTTGTCCGTCTCTCAGCCAAGTTTCTGCAACAGCTATGACGTCCCAATCCCATGTTCTTAAACATGCCCTGAGTTCATCGGCCTCCCCATAAGACCCCTTGCATTGAAATAAATGTAGTTTAGTTCTTCAGAGTTACTACATACTCTGACTCTCTCTTGTCTTTCTTTTTTAATTGATGTGCTCTCCTCACATTCAGAACCTATCCCAACAATTCTTCCATTTACACTGCTACTTAGAATTATTCCACTCGCGTTCTCTATTGGTGTAAAGTTTCCCTTAATAGAATGAGCAAATCTCCCTGCTAAGAAATTGGTACCTTTCCAGTTTAGGTTAGACCTATCCTTTTTGAACGGGTCTTTTTTTATCCCAAAAGACTTTCCAATTGTCCAAAAACCTGAATCCCTGAACAATACACCATCTCTTCAGCCATTGATTTATCTCCTTTAACCTTTTGATTTCCCCTTGTTTGACATTGGGAGTAAACCAGAAATTATTACTTTTTAGGTTTTATTTTTTAATCTTCTACCTAACCTCTTAAATTCACTCTGTACTGCTTTAATCTTTTCCCTATAAATGTCATTCCTCCCAATGTGTCCAATAATTTCTGGCTCCTCAATCCCACCTTTAACAATATGCTTGAAACGTTTAGAAACATCCATAATCCTAACACCAGGAAAGCACCAAACCCTCCTAAATTTACGCTCACTACCACAGAATCACGTGTCTATGCCCTTGACAGGAGAGTCTGCTATAACAGTAATTCTATTAAACCTTGTCAAACACCGCCTAACATAAGAACCATTCCAAGTGTCCAATAACTGACTGCCCCTTCCATTTTCCTGGGAGAGACTATCCCCTTCAACTGTTCCAAAAACTGAATATCTATTTGATAGAGGAACAGCCGCCAGCGACTTTTGAACAACTACTTAGCTTTCCTGATAGTCATCCATCTATATGACTGATCCTGCTGGGTAATAACTTTTCTAATTTCACTAGCCATCTCACTCTGGACCTTATATATGGTCTTTAATAATATTAAGCCTAAAAAAAAAGTTTCAATAGCACCTTATATATAAAATTAGCTACCTTTCATTACTTACAGAAAATAATGTTAAAATGGAAAAGAATTTTTAAAAAATCAAACATATAAATTTTAAATAAAATCAACCATTTAGCTGATTAACTGAATAAAAGCGATTCCTCTTCAATAAAGTCCTCAAAGAAAAAATGATCTTTTCCGCAGCTGTCCACATGTGGGACTCTCTGGAACGAGAACATAATTCTTTTTTTTCAAAAAAAACCTTTCGAATGTAAAAGAAAACTCTCTAAAACACATAAATTTGATTAATTTCTGAATTAAGAACAAAAAAAACCTCAGCCGTTCACTGTAGTCCCTTTAAACAAAAACGTTGTTAAAATAAGTCTGGTTGAAAAAAAATCGCAAATTTTTTGGTTTTCTTCTGGTTTTTTTGAATGTTAATAAAACAAAATGGAAAAACATCTTCCATTAGTAAATTACGACAACTAAAATAACTAAAACAAACTATAATAAATCTTTAAATATACCTGCAATCCCAAGAGCATCTGCAAGATCCACGCTGCTGCTCTGGCGCTATGAGGCTAACCACTGAGCCAGTACCCCACAAAGTAGTTCATTGGCCAACTAGCATGGTTGGAGAAATGAAGCATTGCTGCAAAAATGAATAAGCTGGCAAGTAGAATAAGCACAGGAATGGAATCAATACTATATGCCAAAAATAGGAATAGTGATGAACACAAAGACAGAAGTTCTCCAGGCACCAATGAGGTGAATACAATGGGAATGTCTTGTAAATATTTACCAAAATATGCACTCCAATAAACACACTGCCACTCTCTGGTCAATGTCAAATATTGCAGTTAGAATTGACAAGAGTAAACTGAAATTTGGCATAGCCAGGGACATATAGTGGGTAGTATTACTATTACTGCTCATTCTAAACCCTGTTAAATTTTTAATTTTGAACACCTAGAAGGGTCTAAAACTGGCAGCAAATGCAATACTATCCATTCTGTGCTCATGTCCAAGCCAACTTTCACACACGTTGAATTCAGTTGTTTGACAGGCATGTAAAGGTAGGTGGTATTGTGGGTCACAGCACCACTTACAATGCAGTATCAAACTGTTGAAATCATTTATTATTTTAAATGTTTTAATGTTGTAGAACTTAAATATTGCTAAATGGACAAAAAGAAGTTGAAGCTTTTTGTCATGCCCTCTGAATTAGAACATAAGCGACAAACTTGAAGAAAGGGATTATGGTCTCAGCCAATTCTCTGCTATTTCCACAAGCAACAGCCTGAATCAATCAGAATCTACCCGATTAAGATAATTAACTGTTCTTGCTGAATCAGGACTCTCTTGTCATTCCGTATAAAATGATGTTCCCTTTTCCTTAAGTCTGCTTCTTGTGTCCCAGTTCTGATGAGTGCAAGATGAACAGTTTCAACTTTTTGAATTCTTTTAGCAGTGTTTTAATATCTTACAGGCAATTTGAAATATATTAAATAATATAATTCCAATTATAAAAATATATCAAATTTAAAATATATGCCACCTTAACTGTGAATATATTTAACCTTAACATAAAATTAATTTGACACATAACGCCAATAGCGAAATCTTACTTAATTTTGGGCTTAATGTTATTTCTCTGCCACATTTTTCACTTAACATAAAGCTTCCACATTTTTCACTTAACATAAAGCTTCCATATCCCCACAAATGTCAAAAATTGGCAACGTGAACATTACAATCCTATATATAACATGGAGTTGTAAAATTATCCATTCAGGATCACGTAGCTAGATATATGATATAAGATTAAGAAATTTATATGGTCTATTTCAAATTTTTTAAAGGAAAACACTCGTCAGGTATTGGGCAGGATTGTTGGCCTTGATACATACTGAAGTATTGTCTCTGAGTGGGAGAATTTTAACTTTAAAATGTACAGACATTTTAATTTTTTCAACATCCAGTTTAGTGATGTCATTACACACCCCTGAAGCAGGGACTTGAACTCTGGACCCTGGCTCAAAGGTAGGAATGCTACTGCTATGACACAAGACCACTGAGAGTGTGAGGAATAATCGCAAGTGGTATGGAAGATTGTGTTTTTCTTTAATTCACTCACGGGATGTGGGTATCTCTGGCGAGACTAGCATTTGTTGCCCATCCCTAATTGCTCAGAGGGCAGTTAAGACCCAACCACATTGCTGTAGGTCTGGAGTCGATGCCCCTGAAGAACAATAGTGAATTGAATGGGTTTTACCAACAACTGACAATGATTTCATGGTCATCATTAGACCCTTAATTCCAGATTCTTTTTTTGAGGAATTTACCAGGGTTCAGAATGGGCAGTAGATGTAATACTACCCACTACATGTCCTTGGCTTTGCCAAATTTCAGTTTACTCTTGTCAGTTCTAATTATAATATTTGACATTGACCAGAGCATGGCAATATAGCAGTGTATTTATTGGAGTGCATATTTTTTGGTAAATATTTATAAGGCATTTCCACTGTATTCACCTCATTGGTGTCTTTGTGTTCATCACTATTCCTATTATTGACATATAGCATTGGGTCAATTTCTGTGCTTATTCTACTTGCCAGCGTATTCATTTTTGCAGCAGTATTGTCCTCACTGAAATGCTTCATTTATCCAGCCATGCTCATTGTCCAATGAGCTACTTTGCAGCATGGTAGCTAAGTGGTTAGCACCGCTGCCTCAGCGCCAGTGTTCAGTTCCACCCTTGGACGACTCTCTCCATGTCTGTGTGGGTTTTCTCTGGGTGCTCCGGTTTCCTCCCACAGTCCAAAGATATGCAGGTTAGGTGGATTGGCCATGCTAAATTGCCCATAGTGTCCAGGGATGTGCAGGCTAGGTGGATTGGCTGTGGGAAATGCGGGGTTACAGGGATTGGCTAGTAGGGTGTGTCTGGGTGGAATGCTGTTCGGAGGGTCAGGTGATGGCCAAATGGCCTGCTTCCACACTGCAGAGATCCTACGATTCTAACACAGGTGCCAACTCCTGCTTTGCTCACTACATACAGCTTCTTGTTAGTATGGTCTCTTCATTCCAGTGCCTCTCCGGCCTTCCTATGATGCAGTTCTCTCCTATTCACCCACTTATGGGATGCTATAAGTACAAAGAAAGCAATGCTTCAACAGGTATTCTCACAGCAACCTTCAAAGGATAGCCAAGGTTGAGCAATAAATGCAGCTTTGTCAGTATTTCCTCATTATGAAAACAATGATAAAATTAAATGTAGATGTATATAATTTCTTAGGTGTAATTATGAATTTATGTAATAACAATGTAGCAATTTTTATCATTGGCTGTCACTAGCAGTGTCCTATCTTCTGAAAAAAACCCTGATTAATGTGTAGGAACACATTTTATTGTTGCACTAAGTTTTTCTTCACCCTCTCTCTTTCAATCCATTCTAAGGAGCTTTTGGGTTTCAAATAACAATGGTTAGATTCATGCTTTTTTTATACTATAGTTTGTTGTAAGTATTTCTGCAAAATGTGATACATAATTTAACTTATATTTTACTTGTCTTTTCTTAATAATTGAGTCTTGTTTGCCAATTCAGGATTAAGAAATTGTGTTGAATTGTAGCTTAGAACCTCAATTTATGTTTATTTTTGTTTCATCAAGCTGTGGTTTAAACATTGTGGTTTACAAAAGTCATCCATTTTTCTTTTTCTGGCAGACAAATAAAACAATTGATAAAATTACAGAGGAGAAGAACAAATTTGAGAAACAGCTGACTGAAAAGCAGGTGCAGTAGTAATAGATTCTTTGGTTATCAATATCGCTTGTCTTCAAATATACCCCCGAAACGTCAGCCTTCCTGCTCCTATGATGCTGTTTGGCCTGCTGTGTTCATCCAGCTCTACACCTTGTTATACCATCTTTGCTGTCACTTTTGGGAACAAGGAATACTGCTGATGAGTGTAGTGCTGAGATTTTGTGTGAAATTAGAGAATGTTACAGTAAAAATACTCTGTAATACTTCACCCTGATAATTCACTGGAATGTGTAATGCATCAGTTTATTTATCTTCATTTCTTCACATTGAAACCAACTCAATAGCCTGTTCCCACTTTTCCCTAATATGCATTGATCCCTTTAGCCTCAAGAGCTATATCCAACTCCTTGAAATTATACAATGTTTTGGCCTCAACTGCTTTCTGTTGTAACAAGTTCCACAGGTTCACCACTCTCAGGGTGAAAAAATTTCACTTCTCCTAAATGGTTTACCCCTTATCCTTAGCCCTGGTTTTGGCCTCTCTTGATATCAGGAACATCCTTCCTGCAACTATCCTGTCTAGCCCTCTTATCTGAGATCAGAACAATGGGATAACTAATGGAGATATGGATGGTTGAATGTTTTCTGGATCAAGTATTTTCGGAGGCAAAGGAAAGGAAAAGTAAGAAGAAAGTCAGTGAAGAAATCCTGATCACCAACAAGGGTGACAGCATCTTGAAGGCATGTTGTCCCAGGCCTAGCACCATAAAGTGAAGAACCACATGGAGGATACATAGAATCACGGAATCCCTACATTGTGGAAATAGGCCATTCAGCTCATCGAGCCCACAGTGACCCTCCGAACAGCACCTCATCAGACCCACCTCCCAGCCTAGACACTGTGGGCAACTTAGCATTGCCAATCCACCTAGCCTGCACATTTTTGGACTGTGGGAGGAAACCAGAGGACCCAGAGGAAACCCACGCAGACACGGGAAGAATGTGCAAACTCCATACAGACAGTCGCCCAAGGCTGTAATCGAACCCGGATCCCTGGTGCTGTGAGGCAGCAGTGCTTGCCAGTGTGCTACCCCCATCTGCATTATTTCACAATTGGCTACCAACAAGTACATCTTCCATGTGATCAATGTCATTTTTGACCAGACTGCCATGATTATCCACTTTAGCTGTTAAGGCGAGTTGAACACAGAAGACTCTTCATTTGTCAATGTGGTTGGGTTTCTACATGTAATGGAGTCAATGACAGTACTTATGTGGCAATCAAGCTGTCCTCATATGATCTTAGAGTATTGATCAATTTGCTGTGACCTTATTCTATCAGTGGCATGTCACTACCGCAAATTATCCTGGAACATGATTGAAGTAAAAACCATCCCATTGGTACAACTCTTTTTGCTAAGTATTGGTACCAGTGTCCATGAATTGAAATCCATTATTGCCACAGTCTTTGGGCCATGCATTGAACTGTTTCATCCTTTTTACCCTATGCCAGTTTGCTTGTAGTTCACCTAATAATCCAGAGAAAAAGGAAAATATAGAGAAGAACTGTTAAGGAATGTGTTATTCACAGAACAGACAAGACACAGAACTGTCCATTTTCTTGGCACCAGAGAAGCCACGTGCCAAGTGAGTTTCATGTGAGCAGAACTACCTGTCTGTTCCCTTGACTGTATTGTCATAAACTACTGCGTTCCTACTCTTTGATGGATCCCCATGTGGTTCTTCACCGTATGTGCCAGGCTTGGGATAACATGTCCTGAAGATTTGTCACTGTTGCTCGTGATCAGGATTTCTTCATTGTCTTTCTTCTTTCTTTTCCTGGTGACTGCCCACTTATGATTCTGAATTCTGTTTGGCTGTGGGTGGTGACCTCCCGAAATGTTTGATCCAGAAAACATTAATCCATCCAGATGTCCATCAGTGATTCCAGCAGCACCTTGAGCTCAGAAACCCTCAGCACATGTCCAAGCAGCTGTCGTCAGAAGTATTGCCAATTATTGTAAAGAGATTTTGAAGATTTAAGGTCAGTTAAGAAATTAAGTTCTGTCTTTGAGTTGAGATATGATTTTGATAACAAAATATTAATTATTTTATGCAGCTTAAGGTGGGTGCATTGACTGCTGCTTTGGAGAAACAGGAGAAAGAAAAAGAACAGCTTGTAAAGCAATTAGCAGCTCTAGAACGTCAGCAGGTGGGCAATAAAATCCTCAAAAACAATCTTAAAACTCAAGCACGTTTAGGAATGGAACTGTTTTGTGTTACTTTCAATATTATTAAAATGTTAATATTTTTCTCAGTTTTTCTTCCATGTTATTAAGATTGAGAAAACACTGATATCATGGCTCCAATATACGTAGCAGGGTGCAGTTGTGCACTCTAGAAACTTGGAAGAAAGGGTTTCTTTTGTGTCCTGCCAAATTTAACTGTCAAATTTGATTGAATTTTTTTGTCTGTTTCCCTTATATGGTCATCCATTTTAAGAGCTTAACCAGCTGTCAAAGGAATCTACCTTTAATATCAAACCACAGGCAGCGGAAAGGAGGAATCAGGAGGGTCCTGGGAGGAGATTGTAGGCTTGGATGGAGATGATTCCTACACCTTGGCCAACCAGAGTTTGTTGTTTGCCAAGTGAATAAAAGTTAGAAGTCACAAGCCAACCATACAGCACCTGTTTATCCTTTAGTATAAATGATTATGGTTTTTGAAATGTGGCATTTTTGTGTTTGTCTGCTGATTGCACGACAAAATCTTTCACTTACATGTTTCTCTTTTTAACAATATTCAAGGAATTAGTTATTGTACTCAGCATTACCGAAGGAGTTTTGTAACTGTTCTGATTTGCACCTAATTTTCAGGTGGAAAACCATCTGGATCAGATTAGATCAGCCAACTATCTGCTCCATACCCTTCCCGATTTTACTTTTCTTCGAATTGGAAAGCAAAATTAGGTTAAATGTGAATCTGCAACTGTCGGCTTCTCAGCAGATTTGTTAAGTAAGAATGATCCCTTATGAGCTAGAAAGTCAGAAACAATGGAGAGAAGCTTAATAACTTAATTTTCCTTTATTTCTGTGATCAGTAACACAGTAAATCACACCTAATATATTTCATTTGTGTCTACAATTATAATAATGGTAATGATGAGTCTGAATGTTTAAAGTCGTACCAGTCACTTTTTTTAATAGATCTGTTCTTTTCCTTCCCAGCATGCACAGGAGCAGGTGGAGCATGCCCTTGCTGAAATAACAGAGAGTAAAAACAAGTTGGCATATGACAAGGGAAGGCTACAGGTATTATAAATTACTAATACCAAATTCTCAGTTTGTTGTAGAAACTGAGCTATTAAAAATAGTAATACCAGTTAATGGAATTTAGCAGATAGTGAAGGATACATTTTTATCTTTACAGCCTGAGAGATACTTGGCACAGTGGATCAGCTATTGTTTATCGATTCAATCTGAATTTTGTTCACTTAAAATCATTGGAACGAAAATCAAGTGAATTCTACAATGTGTGCAAACTCCTCCTTTTCATGTATAGCTATGTGTTTCCTCATCAACAAAACCACTGGTATATATTTTGTCAAAAGAAAGTCCATGGAATTGTAAAGTTGACTGCTTTATGACTTTTAAAAAACAGTTTTATGATCAACTGTATTTCTTCAAATGCCTTTGGTCTTTTCAGGAGCCAGTTAATTTAAAAATAACCTGTCATTCTGTTACACGTATAATGTGCTATTTTATCAGCCATGGTTCAGCTGATAGAACTCTGACCTCTGAATCAGAAGGTTGAATATCCAGTCCCACTGCAGACATAATTTGGGCTGACACTCCTGTGTGTAGGTGGTGAGGGAATGCTACATTGTTGTAACATCATGTTTCAGTTGAGATAATAACCTAGACCTCCCTATTGGGTGAACTTAAAAAATGAAGTGGCAGTTTTTGAAACAGAAAAGTTGACTTATCCCCAGCATCTGAGCCGATATTTATTCCTAATCACAAAAAAAAGATTATCCGATAATCATCTGATGTGAGCTTGCTATAAGCAAATTGTCTGGCATGTTTTCAGTTTCTTAGTCCAGTGTTATATGTACTGCTTCAACACTTTACTGGCTGTGAATTGTGTAACCACCACCTCTGGGTAGCCCAAAGAGCACACAAGAGGTCAAGTGAAATGTCCACCAGACACCTTTTATTATGACAGAAAAAGTGGGGTTTTACAACTATTAAATCGAGTGAAATTCAGCATTAGTAAAACTGGCTGTTGTATTAATTTGAAATTATCTCTATTGAGAATGAGTCTGACTAGGGGACAGAGATCAGTTTATTCAGAGTCAGGTCTGTTCAGAGAGATGGGCTAGCTACAGATTTTTACACTTCCAACTTTTTATTTCTTGATTGTAGATTTCTTCGCTAATTGTTTCCTTACTGTTTCTTCACCTTCTTTCCTCAGGGTTTCCTTCTTAGTAATTTTGAAGGAGCCAGAAGTACAATCGCCTGCTCCAGCGTTCCGTTTTCCAACTGATACGAGAGCTTTTTGACCCCACTGCCAGAAACTCTTTATTGTGGCCAGGGTATCCCCTGCTGCAGCATGTCACAACCTTTTATCAGATTCATAGCCCAGGCAAAGACTGCGAGCACCAAGAGTAACCAGCAGTGACCATCTTTGCCATGCATCTATGCAAGTGCAAGTAGCCATCTGTGCATGCCCAAACAATGCTAGCCACCTTTGCCAGCCATCTTGCCATTCACAGCATACACACCATTACTAAACTTCTGTAATTTGGTGACCTTGCACTGAGTGTTCCATAGACTCTGTCCCTCAAAAATTAGTTTGTGCGTTTTGCAGATGGACCGTTTTAGCTACTGTCTGCCAATGTCTTTTGCTTTGAAATGATTTTCAAAAATTCCAACACATGATGTGAATTATATTTTTGATAACACATTTTTGTAAGTGTTGCAGGTGTAATTGATAAATTGATATAGAACTTCAGGGGAACAGGTAACAGTTATTAGCTACTGACATTGACACTGAATGCAGTGTTTGTTATTCATTTCTCTCTACATATGCTTTGCTAACTTTGTTTATTACTGACTACATGGCTGAAACTTAACTCACTTAACCCTTTCAAGAAATTCATAGTTTGATTGACAGCTCAAAGACATTGTCAAAGGATAAGTTGACTTTGTGAGCTTATTAATAGAGGTTTGTTTTGATAAGGGATTAAAAATGAAGGGAATGAGAAAGCATTGATGGGCTTTCATAAATACACACATATATATATGTATTTCTTTCATGCGATGAAGTCTTCCTCAGCTGACATTAATTTGGCATGCAGTCTGTAATTGGACATAGAGATGATTAGGGTATGAGTAAGCATAAAGTTGGCATGGGAGTGGCTGGAGGAGCGAGGGGTAACGGCAAGATGACCTAATGTTTAACAAAAACTGGGAAAAAGTCCCAGTGAGCCCTTTCGACCTTGGCACTGGAGACCCACTCAGGTAGCGTCTGATGTCCATCTCAAGGCCTCTGATCCACATTGAAGGAAGTTTCTACTGAGCTGGGAGTGGACAAGGTGGAAAATGTGTTGACTTCTTGGGATTGAAAATCTGGGTCCAACACTGTGAACAAACTAGCCTAACTTCCAACTTGCCAGAGAAAGAGATGATGTAGTTAGGGAATTGTGTTTGGAGTGGGGACTGAAAACAGTGGCTTCATTCTTCTCAGTATTGAATGCTGGATAAGCACACTGGTAATTAGCAACAGTGGAGGAGGAAAGAAAGGTGGTAATAAGGTAGAAATGAGTGTTGTTAGTGCACTTGTGAAAACTGATGCTGTGCCTTTGGCTGATATCGTACTTCTGTAGGTTTAGTAACCCAGTTATTGATTGTGTAACTAACAAACCAGTTAATTGCAATGTATTGCCACACATTTGGTAGGCAATAACATCTTCAACTAGAGAGAATCTAACTACTTCTCCTTAACGTACACCAGCATTACCATCACTTAATTCCCGGTCATCAATATCCTGGTGGTTACCATTGACCGGAGATTTAACTGGACCAGCCATGTAAACATTCTGACTACAAGGACAGGTCAGAGGTTGGGAATCCTGCAGTAACTCACCTCCTGACTCTGGAATGCCTGCCCACCATCAAGAAAGCATTATTAAAGAGTGTGATAGAATATTCACCACTGATTAACCAGTATATTGAGCTCGATTCTAATATTCATTCAAGTAGTTCAGTCCCATCCAGGAGAAAGCAGCCTGCTTAATTGACAACTTAAGCATTTCCTCCAACTGGGTGCAGTGGCAACACTGTATTTTATGTGCAAGATGTAATGCAGCAAGCCCCTGGGCCTCTTTTGACAGCATATTCAAAATTTGCACTCTCTGTCATCAAGAAGGACAAGGAGAACAGGCATATTTATGTTGAGATCACTTTGTGATTAAAGATGTTACTTTTTTTTGTTTAAAGAAAGAGAGTGAATATAAAAGCTTGATTGTGTTACGTACGAATGTGAGAAAAAGTAATTTTATGACTGATCATTTGTGTGAGAAGGCGACATAGAACATAGAACAGTACAGCATAGTACAGGCCCTGCGGCCCACGATGTTGTGCCAAACTATTATCCTACTCTAAGATCAAACTAACCTGCATACCCTTCATTTTACTATCACCCATGTGCCTATCGAAGAGTCGCTTAAATGTCTCTAATGTATCTGACTCTACTACCACTGCTGGCAATGCATTCCACGCACCCACCACTCTCTGTATAAAGAACCTACCTCTGACATCTCCCTTTTACCTTCCTCCAATCACCTTAAAATTGTGCCCCCTTGTGATAGTCATTTCCGCCCTGGGAAAAAGTCACTGGCCATCCACTCTATCTATGCCTCTCCATCATCTTGTACACCTTTATCAAGTCACCTCTCATCCTTCTTCACTCCAATGAGAAAAACCCTAGCTTCCTCAACCTTTCCTCATAAGACCTGCCCTCCAGTCCAGGCAGCATTCTGGTAAATCTCCTCTGCACCCTTTCTAAAGCTTCCACATTCTTCCTATAATGAGGCGACCAGAACTGAACACAATATTCGAGGTGTGGTCTAACCAGGGTTTTATAGAGCTACAGCATAACCTCGCGGCTCTTAAACTCAGTCCCCCTGCCGATGAAAGCCAACACACCATACGCCTTCTTAACAACCCTATCAACTTGGGTGGCAACTTTGAGGGATCTATGGACGTGGACTCCAAGATCCCTCTGTTCTTCCACACTGCCAAGAATCCTGCCATTAACCCTGTATTCTGCATTCAAATTTGACTTTCCAAAATCCACTTTTCTTGATTGAATTCCATCTGCCACTTCTTTGCCCAGCTCTGCATCCTGTCAATGTCCCATTGCAACCTACAACTGCCCTCCACACTATCCACAACTCAACCAACCTTTGTGTCATCGGCAAACTTACTAACCCACCCTTCCACTTCCTTCTCCAAGTCCTTTATAAAGATTACAAAGAACAGATCCCTGCGGAACACCACTGGTCACCGAGCTCCAGGCTGAATACTTTCCATCTACTACCACCCTTTGTCTTCTATTGAACAGCCAATTCTGTATGCAGACAGCCAAATTTCCCTGAATCCCATGCCCCCTTACTTTCTGAATGAGCCTACCATGGGGAACCTTATCAAACGCCTTGCTAAAATCTATATACACCACATTCACTGCTCTGCCTTCATCAATGTGTTTTGTCACATCCTTAAAGAATTCAGAAAGGCTTGTGAGGCATGACCTGCCCCTCTCAAAGCCATGCTGACTGTCTCTAATCAAACTATGCTTTTCCAAATAATCATAAATACTATCTCTCAGAATCCTCTCCAATAATTTGCCCACCACAGAAGTAAGACTGGTCTGTAATCCCCAGGGTTATGCCTATTCCCTTTCTTGAACAAGGGAATAACATTTGCCACCCTCCAATCTGGTACTACTCCAGTGGACAGTGAGGATGCAAAGATCATCACCAAAGGTGCAGCAGTTTCTTCCCTCGCTTCCCGTAGCAACCTTGGGTATATTCCGTCTGGCCCAGGGGACTAATCAGTCCTCATTTTTTTCAAAGTATGAAGCACATCTTCCTTCCTAACATCAACATGTTCGAGCATATCAACTTGTTTCACACTGTCCTTACAAACGACAAGGTCCCTCTCACTAGTGAATACTGAAGCAAATTATTCATTGAGGACCTCCCCTACCTCCTGCAACTCCAGGCACAAGTTCCCTCCACTATTCCTGATTGGCCCTACCCTCACTCTGGCCATCCTCTTGTTCCTCACAAGTATAGAACACTTTGGGGTTTTCATTAATCCTACCCACCAAGGCTTTTTCAAACCCTCTTCTAGCTCTCCTAAGTCCATTCTTTAGTTCCTTCCTGGCTACCTCGTAACCCTCTAGAGCCCTGTCTGATCCTTGCTTCCTCAACCTTAAGTAAGTTTCCTTCTTTCTCTTGACTAGATGTTTCACATGTCTTGTCATCCAAAGTTCCTGCACTTTACCATCCCTTCCTTGCCTCAGCAGGACAAATCTACCCAGCACTCGCAGCAAATGCTCCCTAAACAACCTCCACATTTCTATTGTGAATTTCCCTGAGAACATCTGTCCCCAATTTATGCTCCATAGTTCCTGCCTAATAGCATTGTAATTTCCTTTCTCTTTCCCCCCGCCAGTTAAATAATTTCCCATACCATCTGCTGCCATCCCTCTCCATGACTATAGTAAAGGTCAGGGAGCTGTGAGCACTATCACTGAAATGCTCTCCCACCGAGAGATCTGACACCTGGCCTGGTTCGTTGCCAAGCACCAAATCCAATTTGGCCTCCGCTCTAGTCGGCCTATCTACATATTGAGTCAGGAATCCTTCCTGGACACCTGACAAAATCTGCTCGTTCCAAACTATTTGCACTAAGGAGGTTCCAGTCGATATTAGGAAAGTTGAAGTCACCCATGACAACAATCCTATTACTTCTGCACCTTTCCAAAATCTGCCTCCCAATCTGGTCCTCAGTGTCTCGGTTGCTTTTGGAGGGTCTATAGAAAACTCCCAATGAAGTGATTGCTCCTTTCCTGTTTCTGACCTCCACCCACGCTGACTCAGTAGTCAAACCCTCCTCGACGAACTCCCTTTCTGCAGCTTTGATACTATCCCAGAATAGCAATGCCAATCCCCAACCTCTTTTACCTCCCTCCCTATTTCTTTTGAAACATCTAAATCCCGGAACATCCAACAACCATTCCTGCCCTTGTGATACCCAGGTCTCCATAGTGGCCGCAACATTGTAGCTCCAAGTACTGATCCATGCTCTAAGTTCGTCACCCTTATTCTTGACATTTCTTGCGTTAAATAGACACACTTCAACCCATCACACTGACTGCCACTTTGCCCTATCAACTGTCTATCCTTCCTCACAGACTCTCTGCATGTTGTATCTGCCTGTACATCAGCTACCCCGTTGTCTGATCTGGTTCCCATCCCCCTGCCAAACTAATTTCAACCCTGCCAAAGAGCTCTAGCAAACTTCCCGCCCAGGATATTGGTGCCCCTCCAGTTCAGCTACAACCCGTCCTCCTTGTATAGGTCCCACCTTCCCCAGAAGGTATCCTAATGATCCACATATCTGAAGCCCTCCCTCCTACCACCAGTTCTGTATCCACGTGTTCAGCTGCACTCGCTCTCTATTACCAACCTCACTAGCCTGTGGCACCAGTAATAATCCTGAGATTACTACTCTGCTCGTCCTCCCTTTTAGCTTCCAACCTAACTCCCTATATTCACTTTTTAGGTCCTCATCCCTTTTCCTAGTTATGTCATTGGTACCAATGAGTACCACAACTTCTGGCTGCTCACCCTCCCCCTTAAGAATCTTGTAGACTCGATCCAAGACATCCCTGACCCTGGCACCCGGGCGGCAACGTACCATCGGAGAGTCTCGTTCACGACCACAGAATCTCCTATCTGTTCCCCTAACCATTGAATCTCCTATCACTATTGCTCTCCTATTCTACCCCATTCCCATCTGAGCCACAGATCCAGGCTCGGTGCCGGAGACCTGGCTGCTATGGCTTTCTCTTGGTAGGTCATCGCCCACAACAGTATCCAAAGTGGCATATTTATTATTGAGGGGAACAGCCACAGGGGATCTCTGCACTGTCTGCCTGTTCCCTTTCCCTCTCCTGACGGTCACCAGCTACCTTTATCCTGTAACTTAGGTGTGATTACTTCCTCTCTATCACCCCCTCGGCCTCCCAAATGATCCAGACTTCAGCCAGCTCCAGCTCCAGTTCCCTAACGTGGTCTGTGAGGAGTTGGAGTTGGATGTACTTCTCACAGGTGAAGTCGGCAAGGTGACTAATGGTGACTCTTGCCTCCCACGTCCTAAAGGAGGAGCATGCAACTGCCCAAGCTTCCATCCTCTCTGCTCTAAATTGCCAAAAGAGATAAAGAGAAAGGAAAAAAAAACACCCCTTACCGACCCTCCACACAGAGTCTTTTGTTGTTTAGAGGAGGAAGATGGGTGGGAGATATTACGCGTGTAGTTTTTCGGGTTTAGCCACTGCCGAATATATTAGTTCACTTACCCAGCAGTCCCCATATCCGTGTTTGCTCCTGCTCAGCCTTCGCTCCGCCTATTTACAAGGCAAATATTTTTTATACACAAACTTACCTTCCCGGCTGCCCCCCGCCTCATACTGTCATGACTTCTGCTGCTGAATTAGAGGCCGCTGACTCACAAGGCAAGTATTTCATACACAAACTTACCTTTTTGGATCTCCCCAGCTCGCCCTCTCATACCTGCTGCTGAAGTAGAGGGATGTACAGTATGAAAACAATTCTGGTTAATTTTCATTTGTTTTGTTCAAAGATTACAAGAAAAGTTTTGATCAATTTGTGTAGATGTGCTATTGCACACTTCGTGGTTAGTACATCATGAGGTGGGACTTGAATCTAGAACTCCTAATCTAGAGATAGGGACAGTACCACTACGTAACAAGCTGCTCGACTAGAATTGTTTGTACCTTCAAAAAATGTTTTAAAAGGGAATTTGTTAATATAACAAATAGTTAAGCAGATGATTGGGTTAATTGATTAATGAGCTGATTGGTTAGATATAAAGAGGGAATAGACCTGGGTTTTGTGACAGACTGATATGACCCTATCTCTGAGCCGTAAGGCCTGTCTGCAAGTCCCATCTGTTCCTGTGACGTGTTATAACACTTGGGGTTCTTGTGCTGCAGTGGTCAAATTCAAGTCCTATCTGCTCCAGATGTGTATAATAACATGTCTGAATAAGTTGATCAGAAAATATCTAATGAACATCTGCCTTGGTGTGCAATGCTTGTTGTTACTTTTTTAATTGGGCGATGTGATGGTGGGCTTACAAAATAAAAGGGAACATGTGGAAGGAGTTAAGAGTCTTCAGCTGGCTTGGAGCCAAATTGACAATGATTATCTGAAAAATGCCCTTCAAGCCAAACACAGCATCCTGACTTGGAATTAATTTGCTGTTCCTTCACTGTTGCTGGATGAAAAGAACCCAGAACTCCCTTCCTCATAGTGCTCTGATTGTGCTTGCACCAGATGGACTACAGTGCTTCCAGAAAGCAACACATCACCATTTTCTCAAGGGCAGTTAGAGATGGCCACAGTGCTGGCCTTGTCACTGATGTTCACATTCTATGAAAGAATGATAGTGAAAACATTCCGCATCATAAGTCCATATGGTATTTTTGTGACTGTTTAAGTTTCAATGCTATGTGAACAGATCATTATCATTGCTGTTTTTGTTATTTGTAGGCCAGAGTGGAGCAATTACAGGAAGAATTGCAGTGCATGTCTGATGTCAACTCTGCAAATATTCAATTACAGAAATGTAACACAGTTCTAGAAACCAAGTATACTCAGGTGATACACTTGAAACATTTGTGTGATAACTGCTTGAGTTTTAATTGAAAATTTTAATCAGCTCTCATGGCAGTCAGTGGGCATTATGAGCTTGTGTTGGAAGTACAGAGAATAGGCAGAGACCATGGCTTTAGTCAATGTCTAACACTGATTTGATGCCTTCCTCACATTTTGTACCTTACCACTCTGGTTAGATATTTTTAATCAATCTGTTCACATCTCCAGAGCAGATAAGACTTGAAACCTGGCCTTCTGGCTCAGAGGTAAAGACATTGCTACTACGCCACAAGAGTCCCTACCACTCTACTTAAGGTATTTTAATCACCCTGTTCAGATAGAGTCATAGAGCTGTACAGATGGAAACAGACCCTTCGGTCCAACTTGTCCATGCCAACCAGATATCCTAAATTAATTGAGGCCCATTTGCCAACATTTGGCCCATATCCTTCTAAACCCTTTCTATTCATGTGCCCATCCAGATGCCTTAAATATTGTAATTGCGCCTGCCTCCTCCACTACCTCTGGCAGCTCATCCCATACAAGCACCACCCTCTGCTTGAAAACATTGCCCCTAAGGTCCCTTTTAAGTCTTTCCCTTCTTACCTTAAAACTATGCCGTCTAGTTTTGGACTCCCCTACCTGGGGAAAAGACCTTGGCTTTGTACCCTATCTTTGCCCCTCATGATTCTATAAACCTCTATAAGGTAATCCCTCAGCTTCTGATGCTCCAGAAGAAAAAGCCCTAGCCTATTTCAGCCTCTCAAAACCTCCAAGTCTGGCAACATGAAGTGGTAATGGCCGCAACACAGTTGTAGTCGTCATGAGAGAGAACAGCAGATTAACCAGTTATGTCAATCTCTTCATTCACCTGCCCAGTACATTTTACCTTTCCAGGTGGAAGTGACCTTATATTCCATTAATACATTGTGTGTTGACGAATAAAGCCAGCAAAAAATATATTTTCCTAATTTTCCAATTGTTTTCTTTTGATGCGTTAATATGATTGATCATTATAACTTTGCCATCTTCTACAGATTAATTTAGCACATATAAGATTTACCTACAGAGACTTGAAGCTCAGTTCAGTCAGGTGTACTGTCTGCTTTGATACGATATGAAGTACAAATTATGTTAAAGAAATTATTTCTGCTTTAAAATATTTGATTAATCTGGACTAATTTTTCAGGAGTACCTAGATGGCATGGATGATACAAGGATACATGAATATTTTAATAAGCACATTTTAATTTGATTAATGGCTTTTTGTTTGAATTTTGGGTTATTAGGTCAGGAGAGTTATAGCAGAATGCAAAGATTGTGGGTGGTGAATCACAGGAGAAGGCTGAAGGAAGTATGTGGAATCCACAAATTACTAAAAGAGCAGTAGCCCTCTTCAGCCTGCAAACCTTATCTCCGTTCCTACACTGGGCTTCTCATAGCCCAACAAAATCAACTGACCATGGTTAAATTTAAAATGATGGTGAAGAATAAGGCACTCATTCATCTTATATTATTTAAGTTGCCAACTCTATTCCGTGAAAGTACGAATTCTCATGAGTACATGCCCACCTAACAGTAACAACACAGTAGGATGAAATATAAGGGAAGAAATAATGGCAACCTGTCAGAAAGGCACGGCAGTAATCATAGGAGATTTTAATCTACATTTCAATGGGTAATGTCAGATGGGCATAGATAGCCTAAGTTTGGAGTTCAGAGAATATTTTTGGGATAGTCACTTAGAATAACACCACTGTCAAGCAGGGTAACACCACCGTCAAGCAGGGAACAGGCTTTACTAGACCTGGTATTCTACAGTCAAATACTTAATTAATTATCTCATTGTGAAGGTGCCTTTAGGTAGCAGTGACTTGTATTATGATTGAATTTTGCATTAAGTTTGAGGGAGAGAGGAGTTGGTCAGAGTCTATTTTTAATAGGTTTAAGTTAGGGCAATTTTGAGAGCATGAAAGCAGAGCTGGCTAAAATGAATTGGCAAATTGGTGAAAGGATAGGTCAGCAGACGTTCAAGGAGATAGTTCAAAATACACAATAGATACATTCCAACAAGAAAGGAAATTTCCAAGAGTCAGACCCATTGTCCATGGTTAACTAGAGAAGTTAAAGGTAGTATCAAACCAAAAGAAAAGGCATATAGTTGTGGAAAGACAGGTGACTGTACAAAGATTGGAGAAAATAGAAAAAATAGCAAAGGATAACCAAAAGAGGGAACATATTTGAGCATGAGAAAAAAGCTAGACAGAAATAATAAACCAGAGAATAAGGTTTTCCATAAATATTTCAAGATGAGTTAGAAAGTGAGCATTGATCTTACAGAAAATGACACTGGAGAATTAATAATGGAAACTAAGGAAATAGCTGATGAATTGAACAAGTACTTTGTTTGATAAGATTGAGAAATAGTGTATGTTTCTCGTTTATTCAAAAAAATGGGAGAAGACAGAAAGCAGGCCAGTTAGCTTAATGTCTGTCATAAGGAACAAGCTAGAAGCTAATATTAAAGACATTAAAGCAGGAGGCATGGATAAGTTTGGGTTAATCAGGCAGAGTCAACATGATTTTGTGAAAGGAGGTAACGTCCAGTGGATAAAGAGGAACTGTTGCATTTACTATATTTGGATATCCAGAAGGCATTTGATGAGGTATTACATCAAAGGTGATTGCTGAACTTAAAAAGTCATGGTGTAGGGGTTAGCCTATTAGCTTGGATAGAAGATTGACAGATTAACAGAAAACAAACTAGGCATAAGTAGGTCTTTTTCATTTGGCAAGATGTAACATGGTCTACATGGATTGGAGCTGGTGCCCGACCCCTCTACATTTATATGACTTACCTCGATAAGGGATGGAAGATATGGTTGTCAAATTTGCTGACTACACAAAGATAGGTAGGAATGTAAGTTGTGACAAGGACATGAGGCTACAAAAAGGTAGATTAAGGGAGTGGGTAAAGATGTGACAAATGTTGGTAACATAATGATGTGAAATTGTCCATATTAGCAGAAGGAATTAAAAGCATATTACCTAAAATGGTTAGAGTTTGCAGAGTTCTAAGGTGCAGAGAGATCTAGGTGTCCGTGTGATGAATCACAAAAAGTTATTATGCAAGTAATTAGACAAGTTAATAGAATGTCATTATTTATTGCAAGGGAAATTGAATACACAAGTAGGGAGGTTGTTTTAGTTATACAGCACACTGGAGAAACTGTACACCATATTAGTTGCCTTATTTATGGAAGCATGTAAATGTGATGAATGCAGTTTAGAGAAGTTTGACTAAACAAATATCTGGAATGAGGGCGAGGCCTGTATCTGCTAGAGTTTAGAAGAGTAAGAGGTGACTTGATTGTAAAATATAAGATCCTGAGGTAGATGAAGAGAGGATGTTTTATTGGAGAACCTAGAACGAGGAGTCACTGTTTAAAAGTCAGGGGTTGCCCATTTAAAACAACAGTAAGCTAAATATGTTTCACTCTGTTGGTCCAGAAACTGCTGAAGTTCATGTCCAGTCCGGAGGGTCATAAAGGGCCGAATTGAACAATGAGTCTTTGGAACTCTTTTCCTGCAAAAGTGTTGGAAACAGAGTCCTTGAATAAATTTAAGGCAGTCCTAGACAGATTCTTATTAAGCAAGGGGGTGAAAACTTATCAATGCTTGGCAGGAATGCAGATTTGAGGTTGCATTCAGATCAGCAGTGATCTTATGATGGTACAGGCTCAAGTGGCTGAATGGCCTACTCCTGCTCCTAATCCAGATATTCATATATATTGCATTGGTATGAGAATCAGACTGTTAAAATTGGCAGTTTGTTGGATGAAGGATAATTCTGTTCTGATGATCAAAATGAGGCTATTGGACCCATAGGACAACTGCCAAAAGTGGGTACCAAAGTAAAATATTTCCAATTAGACACTTATAAGTGGAGAAGTGTATTGTACTTTTCATCCCGTTTTCCTGCATTCTCTACTAAAATTTTTAACCTTTTGGGGGGATGGGTGGGCAAATTGCTTGTGAATCTTGAGTCCAATTGACCTTTTTGACTAAACACTTAGTCCATTAAATATTTACAACAGTGTCCTGATCGTGTAAATTGCAGTTTTCAAGATTTTCCAAATACAGTAGCTTTGTCAATTTCCATTCATCTGTGCTTTCTTCATTGATGGTTTACTTAATAACAATGGTATTTCATTAGGTACAACATCTACCCTAATAGAATGATTGATTCCAGTTATTTTATGAGAAATGACTAATCTTTTTAAAGACTTTAATATGTTATCATTCCAAAACCTGATTCAAATTCCTTAATTTTGTTCCAATTCTTATTAATGAGTTTCAGTAGCATTTTAGTCAGTCTGTTCCAGACACTGTGTAGATGTGCATCCTGTTTAATACTGTACAATTGAAAGATTCTGCCACCATGATATTCATCACTGGACTGAAACTTCTTGTAACTGATATCATGCCCTCCCTTTGACCCATATTTATTTTTGTCTGTACTAACAATTCATCCATTTTGTTACAAATGCATCACCTACTCAAATACAGAGTCTTTAATTCTACCTTTATACTATATTGTAATCCCTGGCCTGATCTGCTGGTGCATTCTTAGGTTTATGCTCTTTGTCTGTGCCTGCCATACTCTGGTTATCATGAATTGCATGAGTTATTCTAAAGAAGGGTCACTGGACCCAAACTGTTAACTCTGCTTTGTCTCCACAGATGCTGCCAGACCTACTGAGTTTTTTTCAGCAATTCGTGTTTTGATCATGAATTGCTACCTTGCTGTACTACCTCGTTGTTTCAATTGACTAACCACTTCACCTTTCTTAAGATCTAAACCCCCACTATTTTGTCCAAAACCATCTCAGCCGGCTTGATTGTACAATTTGCTAGAACAGTTCACGTGAAGCCTGCCCCAACGTTACAGTTCCCACTTTTCCCAATACTAGTGTCATCCAACTTGCAGCCTCCACTCTCATCCATATACGTTGCAAAAACCTCAACCTATTGGAAAATTGCAAGGACTGAGGGTTTTCCACTTCTCTGCTGCTTTGTCTACTTCACTTGCAGTCAAATCCTCCTGATGCTCAGCACTGATCCAAACAAAAGACCATAATCTCAGGGTTGTGACTGACTTTTTCAACAAAGTGTCCAAGTAACTTTCATCTTCCTTGATGCATCACTGTGTCTGTAACTCGGCTTCCAAATCATCATAAGCTGAAGTTCTCCAAACTGTAGACGTTTATTGCAGATGTGGTTACTGTAGATTACACTGCTCTCTGCCAGCTCCCACATGCCATAGGTGCAACAAATTACTTGCCCTGCAATATTTAATTTGACTAAATGAAGAAATAACCCAATAATAATCTCTTGTTATATCAAGTGGCTTAACTAGTTAAGTGCTAACTTTATTGTAACACTTGTAGATTCCTGTTACCAATTTAAAGTCCTCCTGTTTATAGAAAAGAAAAAGCGTAAAACTCACTGACTACTCAACTATCTGCTCATCCAATTAATGCTTTCAGGCTTCAGCTTTCACATCCTGCTGCTGCTGGCTGGCTCCTCTTCTTGGCCCATTTCTTTTATGTAAAAGGTCAGAACAGCACCTCTTCCTACTCTACATCAAATTCCCTCACTCTTGAGATTGCCATCTTTCATTCTGTATCAAGCTGAACTCAGTCATAAACTGTTCCCTTTGTGCTTTCTAACTTTGTGTGCTTAGCAAGATCATCTGTATTTTACTAATTGAAATTTTGCAGAGATGAGTCAGCACTGCTGACAAGAAAAAGAAACATTCAAAGTAGCTATCTAAATAAATCACTAGTCTCTCTCTAGTCGGGATCCTGTTTATCCCTAAGACTGAAAGAAACAATTTTAACAATGTAGTTAACAATTTTAACTAAATGATAAATGAATTTCAACTAGATTTTAGAAAGAGATTAATTTTTCAAATTATCCCTTAAGATTCCAACATTCTCCAATTTTTAAACCTCACACTCTTTGTCTGGTTGTACTTAGTGACGAGTTGCCGACTTAGTGCAACTTCCTGGGTGATGTTTGGTTGCACACCCACTGTTAGTCCTCTATTAAAACCAGCAGAAGGCAGATTCAGGTCACGATTCTGATATTAAGCGTTTGAACATTCTTTTTTTTTAATGGTTTAAAATTCACCTCTCTGAATTGTTTGAATTAAGGCATTTCTACATACCTTTTGAATTGAGCATCATTGCCGAACTTGCATTTAATTTGTTTCATGTCAGTATATATTGACTTCTCTTCTGACCAGGCGCAGTCGCTATTGAAACAAAAAGAGGAAGATTTTGCAATAGTAACTAAATCTCGTGATGAAGCATTTCAAGAAATCCAAAAGCTAAAAAAATATATAGAGGTGATGGAAGTGAGAGAAACTCATAAGGTGAAAACATCAATGAAAATGCTTTTTTCTTTATATTAGTAACTGTTAAATATGGATAATTGATTCTAGTACTTCAGTGCTTTTATGAAAAACAGTATGATCAGATATTAGTTCAGATGGATCCAGAGTTCATTTTGGAAATTAAACAGTATTACTTCCATAGATATCAAACACACAAGAAAAGATATGGATTCATCACTCGCATCCCAAGTATTCAGATAGTATGTTGAGTGCTTCTCAGTTGTGATAATAAGAATCTGCTTGGACCTGCTCCCACTCTATGATCATAATTCTGTTAGAAGTTCAGTAGCGTGGAAACAACTCCAAGGACATTCACTGAATTATCGTCTGAACGATTATTTTGCCACAGCCTATGATCTTCACTGCAGTATTGGTGAAGAGATCAAAGAACCATATTTGGTACTCAACAATATATTATTTATTTATTTATTCATAGTTTGATTCAGAAGAAACTTCAATGTGTGGAAGGCAAGCTGTGTCTAGGAAGTACACCATAATACCTATTTTTTTCATACCTGTTGTCTTGTAATTGATTTGAAAGTGCAGATGCTTAAAAAAATCCAAATCAGTTTAAAAATAGTTTTAAATGGGAAGATTGGCATTCAGTTGTGGAGCAGTGTGAGGTGGTATCCAAGCCCCCACAATCAAGAACTTACTTGTGCTTCAATAATTCACAACTCCACACCTTAACTGATTTGAATGTTAACTTACTTTCCAGATTGCAAAACCTCAGGAAAGTTTGACATATTCTAAGCAAGATAATAGTCAAATGACAGTGACTCTAGAAGATGTATTGGCATCGCACATAAGACTCCAACAGACAGTGGAGAGTCTACAAATAGAACCTGGACAAAGAGACACAGCGATAAGTTACTTGCAACGGGACAAGTAAGAAGATACTGTATTTATAGATAATATTTTTCAAAATACTGTACTTCTGATTTTGTGGTTTAAGCAACAAAATAGCTATCAGAGTGATTTCATTGCATGTCTTAAAAAAAACCTTATTAAAATGGTAATCATGCCGTTTCAAATGTATTAGGATGCACTCAAAAATATGTCACTTATTATTGTTCTGATGTAGCATCTAGGCTTGTTTCATAGTACCTTCCAAACCCACAACCTCAGTCACCTAGAAGGAGAAGTCACCCAGCACCTGCAAGTCTCCCTCCAAGTCTTACACATTCATTCTTCTGTTATGATTCCAACTCTTGTTATTATTGGGCAAGTCAGATCCCAGACTGAAATCTGGCTTGATAGATTTTGTCTTGTTTGGTTTTAATGAGGTGATGTCTCATTGCACACAATGTTGCAGATTTGGTCTTCACAATGACACAAAAGTTTATTAAGAAAAGGAAATGAAGATAAAATCGAATAAACCCAACTATTTACTTACTACACAACAATTTTGAAACACATGGTAATGATTCTCATTAGTAGCCAAAAACACACCATTACAAATCCCAAAAACATCAGTACCTGATGTACCAGTATCAGTACAGTACCTGAAAACACCCTGTGTACCTTACTTACAACTAAGAAAAATCACCTTCTATAATACACCTATAGATTAAGTTAACTGTGACATCACCTTCCAGACTGAAAAATCTGATGGTCTTTTCGTGGATTTATCATACAGCTGAGTTTAAACTTTCTCAGTTTCAAATAAATTGCTTTAGGATATTATCTAAACACTTGGGTTGAGAGACTGCCACTAAATTCCATATTATAAAAAATCCAGTTTCACTATCTTCTCCCCTTTTTTTAGGAGCACTGTTTTATACATGCACCCTCATCCAGCAGAACTGGTCCAAACTGAAAACCAGAAGAAACAAAACAGGTTTACCACAAGCTTTCATTAAGCCAAAAACAGTTCCAAAAATCTTTAATAGAAACTTTGCTCAGTCATAAACTGTCCTAATGTACACACAAACTCATTATTATGAAAGGTACCTCTCATTTTTTTTTAAAAAGAAATCACCATGGCTACAGAAATACTTAAGTTAATCATTAAACCCTTCAGGCAATAGAAAAACCCATATGGCACTAATTCAAAATTGAAACATCTGAAGTTTCATGTATATATTAATCATTTATTTCATAAATCATACACCCTATAACATTTAGAACTACAGCACTCTTCCTTCACTGTCAACAAATTCTGGAACTACCTTTTTAACAGCACTGTGGCTGATCGTACACCATATAGATGCAGCATCTTAAGGAGGCATCTCATCGCCTTCTCCAGAAAATGAGGTATTGGCAATAAATGCAGGCCTAGCCTATGTGGCCTCATGAAAAATAAATGCTCTGAACTTTATAGTCTATTGTGTAGGATTATTGAGGGAAACGTTTGTTCACAACTATCATTCTAACTTCTACCGCATGAGTCCTGCAGGTAGCAGCCTGTAGGACTACCTGTCCTAGGGCTCAGTGCAAACTTCTCCTATTTTGTGACCTGATTGATGCTGTGTTAATTGGGAATGCATGTTCACCATCAGCTTTCCCGTGATTTGGGTATAATATCTACTAAGGATCAGGGTTTTGTGCCATGGATCTTCATGTGACTGAACAAGTGTTTGGCATTCTGAACAATTGGTAGCAAGCTCCTCCTAGTCATTAAGGGCAATGCTGATGCACTTCCTGGAGGGCTTCAGAGTATTTTTTTTTTGTCCTCCCCTGGAATATTAGCTTTTCGAGATTTGAAAGAAACGGACCTGGTGGGGGAAATGGTTTTCAACAATCTGGACACACAGTCCAGTCCATTAAAGTTGGTTTTGCAGGAGTTTTGCCTGACTGCTCGTTTTCCTGCCTTCAAGAAAGACTCTGGTTTTTGTGAAATGGTCTGCTCATTGAATCTGGACGATGCTGCGGAGGCATTGCAATGAAATTTCTTAGCCCCTATCATTCATTACTGATACACAGTCCAAGTCTTACTGCATTACAAGTGAATACAATTACTCTGTACAATAGGATTTGTCATGAAACACTTACTGCTTGATGTGGTTTTCATTATCAATGCTGGTCTTTTGAAGCAGACATCTGCCAAGATATGGCAAGTGCTTAATATATTCCAGCTTCTTATGAGGAAAGGTTGGCTTGTATCTGCTGGAGTCTAGAAAAGGAGTAAGAGATGACATGATTGAATCTTGTAAGATCTTAATTGTCATGAAAGGATATAAGTGAAGAAGATATTTCCTCTTATGGGAGAATCTAGAAACAATTCTCAACATGAACGTCAAAGTGATAACCTGGCAGCAACAACTGGCTGCTTGCTTCTCCAGGCCTTTAGAGAATTGTTTCTTTACCACAATATCCTGCATGCTCCATGGACACAGCCCTCTTCCACTCTTCATCCACACAAGTGGGCACCACCAAACAACGAGCCTCACCAAATCATCATGGCTGCTTTCAGGTTAACTCTTTCATCACTTTAACCCTTGAGGACATCACTTTGGAGCTCAAAAACACTTGTAACTTGCATGCCTGACACAAAAGATCTAAAGCAGAATCTGTCTAATAATAGCTGACTTTCTGAGCATTCACATCCTTTGTGCTTACTTAGAGGTTACCATCCTCTGTGATTTGCATTGATGTTTTGTGCAGAGGGAGAGACAGCAGCTTGTTGTGGTAAACACACTACGTCTCCTTCATTCAAAACAGCCATTTGTGAAAGTGAAAGGGGACCAGTCTTTAATGATGTCAAGGGGAACAGTGCGACTTAGGCTACTGCCATTGTGAGTCAAGGGACTCGTCAGTTCCAATGCAGGAAGTTGGCCAAGGTCAGGTCAGGTTAGGTGCAACTAACACAGGGGTTACAGCTATGTCAGTCAGAGTGCTGTGGTGACATCAGTCTCTGCAGTGGCTGGTTTTTCCTCCATTGAGACAAAGGAAGGGTCTGACTATGTTGAAACCGGACGGGAGAGCAATTAGTGGTGATGCAGGAGTAGGTGAGATGGTCTCCAGTCAATGATTAGGGGGCACAGAGGGCACGAAGTGCTAGTTGGAAAATTAGGTGGTTGAGAACCGTTCAGTGGACATTATGCATATAATAATGAGTTGTAGTCCATGAGCACTGCTGAGAACTTTGTGCAGTGACAGTTACAATGAGTGGCACCCCTGTCCATATGAGGCAACAAAGTGAAGAAGGTGGTCCTTAACCTTGTGGAGTGCACAAAATAATTACCCTTCTTCCTGTGCTGTTTTGCGTTGAATTTCACCCTGGACACTACCCAGGATTCTATTTTGGTTCAGGCTGGTTGAATCTGGGGTTGTGGTCTGCCTTGCTAGTTAGGAGGAAGAAGACCAGTACCGCTAGGTCTCTGGCAGTGATTCAAGGAATTTACTTGACTTTCTGAACCATTTTCTTGGGGGTAATGGTGCAGGACCACAGTGTGAAAGGTAGTTCCCAACTTGCACTGTCTGAAGTGGTGCACAGCTGGTGTTTAACTATGGTCCCAGTGGGATGAATGTCACATTCATCCTAGTCCTAGTTGTGGTGAGGACCTCAGCCTTCCTGCAGCATGATTCCATGAGAAAGGCACCAAAGAGACCAGTTGTATAATTAATGAGATGAAGAGTAGAAGATTGAGTCAGAAGAATCGACATGGGCCGTGGTGGATCATGCGCCACAAATCTTACTCGAGAAAACACTTATCAAAAAATGGGAAAATTTAGTCCATGAATTCTAGTCCAGTACTTTGAAATGTTTCTCCAATGCACTGTGTCCTCCATATTGACAGGAGCGATTTTCCCCACGTGCTTATGGAATTTTAACTTAATAGCTTGCCTGTTTATTTTTGGAGGATTCCCCTTGGAATCCAATCTGATCAATTGGCTCGGCTCCCAAGGGAGGCTGCAGCCACTGTTGTGTTCGACTGAGTGTGATGATGGACCCCTGTCTCTAACTCTGGAGGTGATACCAAGGGAAGCAGGTAAACATGTCATAAAAGGGGAAACATTCCTCATTGCCCACAAGTGTTGCTGTAGGGGACATGTAGCTTTTCCCTAAAACTGGCCAAGCCTCCTTTGTTGTCAGGTGTCTGACAGCCTGGGAAACTTGCCAGTACTGAACGGAGACAATTTTGGGTATGGGATTTGAGATATACCTAACCGACCCATTTTTTTTGGGGTGGTGTGGTGGGAAGTTGAAATTATCCCCAGTAAGGCACTATGAGAAAACAATTTATTCTTTTTGTGCAGCAGTTCAAATGGTCTTGTAATATCCTTTTATTGCACTTATGACTATGTACTTCTTTAATAAATAACCTGAATATCAAACTTGTCCAAACGTTAATTGTGCTTTTCAAGGGACCTCTTTTTGAACATGTGTTAATGATTACATTGAATAGTTGTTAGAGATGAATGTTTTGATTTTGATTCTTTTTCTCTTTGTATTATTTATTTCAGCTGTCTCTCATAACTTTCTGTAAAAAGATCTTTTTCTGATGCTTCTCCTTTCCCTTCCTGCCGTGCACCTTTCCACCATTATCATAAGGTGTGGTGAGAAGAAATGGATAAAGCACAGAATATTGTGTTTTAGTTTTATGTTCTATTCAACAAGGTTCTATGAAAAATGAATGTTTCAATGAACCATTTTTTCTTAGCATATACTGCTAATGTGTAAGTTCTCCTAATGAAGATCATTTTAAAATTCACGCAGAATCAAAATTTATTCCATTGAAAAGTGATTCCTCAGACATTTGTCATTATGTTTTGCCAAAAACAGAACTTAACGATGAATTAGTTAAGCAAAAGCAGAATGCAAAATTACAGGGAGACTGTGTATTGCTGGCTTAGACTTCAAAAAAACATTTTCAGTGTGTCTCTTTTTCATTCTTTGAAAATAAGATTCAATCCCCGAAAAGATACGTTATCATATCTTTGCTCTTCGTGGCTTTTCCAATAAATATTTTTGGAAGCTCATCAAATCTATTTTAATTTGAGGAACCTGACTCGAAAGAAATACAGAATAAGCGCAGTTGTAAATTTATAGTTGATAAAGTATCCTTTGCTCAAAGAATGTTCAGTCATCTGCCAGAGTCATACTCCAAGACTTCAGCAAACTATTTTTTCATGGGTAATGGGTATTGCCGGCTAAGCCAGAATTTATTGTCCATCCCCAATTGTTGTGGAGGAGATGGTGGTGAGCTACCTTCTTGAACTACTGCAGTCCTTTGAGCATAGGGACCCTCAAAGTGCTGTTGGAAATGGGAGTTCCAGGATTTTGACCCATTAACAGCAGTATACTTCCCAGTCAGAATGGTGAATGGCTTGGAGGAGAACTCGGAAGTGATGGTGCTGCCAAGTTTCTCCTGCACTTGTCTTTCTAGATGATAGAGGTCTTGAGTTTGGAAGATGCTGTTGGAGGAGCCTTAATAAGTAACTGCAGTGCACCTTGCAGGCAATACACAATGCTGCCACAATGTGTGACTTGGAGAGGAATTTGGATTTGATGATCTTGTTGCAGTTGGCCTTTTTGATGGTAGAATTCACAGAGTTGGATTTGGGTGTCACAGTAAACATGCTTCAGCTGATGTTGTAGATAGCACACCATGTATTCCAGGCATATTCTGCCTGTAAAGGAATGGGTGTTGGGCATTGTGTCCAGTGGCGTGGAAGTTGATCAAGCACACAGCCTTGTCCTGTTATAGTCCTGTTTGATATTGAGCTTTCTACATGCTTTTTGCTGAGTTTTTTAAATGCTTTTGCTTCTGTAGTCATCCAAGTGCACATTCCCACATTTTGACGAGCCTTATGGATGGTGTTATGGGCAGATAAGAGAGTACGATGGGGTTAAAAGGTTATCTACTTATTGTATTGTACAGCCTCTGCCCATTCTGATAATCATGATGTGGAGATGCTGGTGTTGGGCTGGCATGGACAAGGTCAGAAGTCACACGACACCAAGTTATCATCCAACAGGTTTACTTGAAAGCACAAGCTTGCGGAGTGCTGCTCCTTCGTCAGGTGAAGTATACTGCCTGATGAAGGAGCAGTGCTCAAAAAGCTTGTAATTTCAAATAAACCTGTTGCACTATAACCTGGTGTTTTGTGACTTCTGACCTCATTCTGATAGTCATTTTGTTATTGGGATTAGGTTAGTTAAGCTTCTGTCAGTGATGACCCTCAGAATGTTTACTGTCAGGGCTTGGTGATAGTGTTGCCATTGGAGTCTGGTAAGTTTCTTGAAGATGAATATTTCCTCAATGCTCTGAGGTTGCAATGTCTGGCCTACAAAATTCATGACCATGCATTTTGATTCTAACAGTTGTAGAATTTATCTATAATCCTCATTGATTTTAGTTTTGCTCAAGTACTTCAGTACCGCGCTCAATTTAACGCTGCCATGATATCAATTACAGTTCTGTAATCTCATCTCAGCCAGTTTGCTGGAGTTTATGATGTTCAGGGCTTTTATTGGACAGAACTACAACTCTGCAATCTGTTATTTGTAACTTACATTTAATTATAATGACTGTATAAAGTTAAACTGCTGTTGTTTTATTGCTCATCCTGTTTACTATGAAAACTCTGAAGGGGACTAGAATTCAAGGGTGCTAAAGTTGAATCCAAGATGTTCACTGAACGGATCGAAGCCCTGAAAAAACAGTTCCAAAGTGGAAAAGGGATTGAGATGAAGGCCAGTCAGAAAGAAATTGTGGAAGTAAGTCTAACTTGCACTTTTCTCAAAGTGAAATACAAATACCCAAGGCCATGAACTCTACAAAAATAACAGACAAATAATTTGCATAACAGAGAGTCTTGCATTAGAATAACATTTTTGATGGCTATCGGATGTCACAAAGCCCTCAATATCTTTTATGATATTGATTGGATAAATACTGACCTTGACACCAGCAATAACTCCTTGCTCTTTTTCAAAATAATGTCATAGGATCTCTTACATTTGCCTAGCCAAGCAAGAGAGGCTTTATCTTACGGTAGACTGGACTAGAGGTCTACAGAAAAAGGTCCTTTGATCCATTTGAGTCAACACCGGTCATAAACAACCACTCTATTTCCAGCACTTGGTGCATAGCCTTGAATGCCTTGACATCACAAGATTAAATCTAAAAACTTTTTAAATGTTATGAGAGTTTCTGCCTCACTTACAGGCAGTGAGTTCCGGATTCTCAGAAACCTCTGGGTCAAACCATTTTTCCTCACATTCCCTGTAAACGTCTTGTTCCTTACCTTAAAGCTGTGCCCCTCAGCTGAAAGATGGCATCTCCTGCACTCCTGTGTTTCAACAGTGGAGTGTCAGCCTGGATTTTTGTGTTCAAGCCTTGATGTGGGACTTGAACCTGGAGCCTTATGACTCGGAGGAGAGAACACCACTAGGTATAGAAAATCTTTCAAAATGAAGTATGGGTATTAAGGTGCAATCAAAGTAGTTACTTTTGTCTTTTTTGACAAATAAATTGAAACATTTATCATTTCTGTAGAAAATAGTGATCAAATATGAGTGGTTCACAAATTGCTGGGCCATGAAACAGCTATGCCCAGATTCATTATTTGTTGGAGTTACTCTGTAAGACTGGACATTTACAAGGTATCTGTGTACAACATATGAAGCACAAGGAGTGGTATAGGCCCAATTCTTTTGTTCTTGCGTTGTTTAAAGTAAAATGTTAATGCCTCAACATAATTAATGTTGCATATCACCTTACTGGAACAGGCAGGCTGGCTGTCTACCCAAATATTTGGCCTTCGTTAAAGCTAGATTTAGAAGCAGGTTTGGGTGGGGAAACAGATTTCTCACTTTAATTCCATTCGACCCAAACTTTTCTTTTTTTAGCATTACCGAGAATTGCGTTTTATTTGAGTAGGAGATAATGCTATCAGAAGTACCTGTTTACCAAACACTACCATCTTCTTTGCAATTTCTCTTCCAACTTCATAGCTTAAAAAATGTCTAACTGATGCTACTTCCAAGACTGCAGAAGTGTCACGAGCCAATAGAGAATTGCGACTGAAAGTTTCTGAATTTGAGAAAACGATAAAAAGTCAGAAAGCAAAGATCAAAGATCAAAAGATTCAACTAAAGCATCATCTGGAGACCAGAACAACCTATGCACAAAATACAGAAAGAATGAAGGTATGTGCAATATGATTTCTTCTTTGTGTGTAAACTTGTTTTGAAAGACCAGGCTATGAAAATTTACAAGGTCTCCCAGCTCTGTGCTCATAGTAGAAACGCAACTTCTGTAAAAAGACCCAATTTACTATCACCTTTAAAGCTAAAACTTTCTGCATAACATAGAGGGGATAGTAGGTGATGAGCCAGAAGACTGTATGGATTTAGCTTTGTTAGATATAGATACTAAGAAATAATGGAGTAAAACAGATCAGCAATAGAATCGTAGAGGCACAAAAGGAGGCTACCTGCACCATTGAATCAAGACTAACGTTTTTAAAGAGAAGTTCTGTTAGTCCCACTTCCCTGCTAATTATCTTTTGAATGCTATTCTTAGAACTGTAAACAGGCCACTCGTGAATTCCAAATTTTAACAAATCTAATGAAGTTAAGTAAAGAGCTCATTCATTCCAGAGGTAGAGCTCCTGAGATGACACCCGAATTCAAAAGTGACACAGGGCAAGTGGAAGCTGCAGATTGGGTGAGTACAGATGGAGGTAGCATATCGGCATGGATAGACAATTGGCATATGGGTAGGAAACAGTGCGTGGAGATAAGGTGTTCTATTTCAGGTTGGCAACCTATGACCAGTGGTGTTCCACAGGGATCAGAGCTGCGACAGCAATTGTTTACAATATATATTAATGACTTGGAGGAAGGAAGTGAATGGACTGTAGCCAGATTTGCAGATGACACAGAAATAGGTAAAAGGCAAATTGTGAAGGGGATACAGTTTACAGCGAGAGATTGATAGGTTATTTCAGTGGGCAAAATGTTGGCAAATGGAGTGAAATAGTGGAAAATGTGAACTTGTTCAGTTTGGAAGGGAGAACAAAAGAACAGTGTTATTTAAATGGAGAAAAGCTGCAGAAAAATGCAACAATAAAGGGACTTGGGTATTTGTGCATGAAACACAGAAAGCCAGCACATAGATACAGGAGGTAATGAGGACGGCTAATGGAATGTTGGCCCTTATTTCAAGGGGGTTGAGTTTGAGTAAGGAAGTCTTACTGCAAATGCAGAAGCTGCTGGTGAGACCACAGCTGGAGAACTGTGAACAGTTTAGGTCCGCTTACTTAGGATATTATTTCATTGGAGGCAGTTCAGAGATGATCCCTAGTATGGATCTATTGTCTTATGTGCAAATTTCTCTTCATAGAATCCCTACAGTGTGGAACAGGCCCTTCGGCCCAACAAGTCCACACTGAACCTTAGTGCATCCACCCAGACCCAACCCCTATAACCCACCTAAGGCTACACATCCCTGAACACTATGGGCAATTTAGCATGGCCAATCCACCTAACCTGCACATCTTTGGACTGTGGGAGGAAACCAGAGCACCTGGAGGAAACCCACGCAGACACGGGGAGAATGTGCAAATTCCACACAGACAGACACCCGAGGCTAGAATCGAACCTAGGTCCCTGGTGCTGTGAGGCAGCAGTGCTAACCACTGTGCCACCGTGCCAAAGGATAGACAGGTTCGGTCTCTACTCACTGGAATTTAGGAGAATGACAGGAGTTCTCGATCAAACATATAGGATTCTTGAGGAATCTTAAGGAGCTTGACTGGGTAAATGCTGAGAAAATGTTTCCCACATGGGTGAGTCCGGGCCCAAATGGCATAGTCTCAGAATAAAGGCGTGCCAGACTGAGATAAGAAGGAATTTCTACTCGTCAGCATTGAGTGTGTTTAGCCCTAGAGAGCTGTGGGGGAATAGTCCTTGTGTCTGTTTAAGACTGAGATCAATAGATTCTTGATCAGTAGAAAAATCAAGGTTTATGGGGAAAAAAAGTAGGAAAATGGATGTGAGAATGTCAGATCAGCTATGATCCTATTGAATGGTGGAGCAAACTCAAGGGGTGGAATGGGCTACTCCTGTTCCTATTTCATACGGTCAAAAGATGTAAATCCTCCTGTTAGCTCTGTTTCATTTACCAATCATTATGAAATATGTTTTTTGACTATAGATCTTTCAACCGTTGGAAGTGATTTCTCATAACTAACTTGATCTGGATCCCTCAAAATTTGAAACACCTCAATCAAATTGCTTTGCTTCAATTTGCCCATGGAATGTGTGTTTTGCTACCTAGGCAGGTATTTATTGCTCATCCATAATTGCCTGGAGAAGGTGGCAAGCCGTCATCTTAAACTGCTTTCAGGAAGGACGTCCCTAGATTTTGACACAGTGACAGTGATGGTGTGTGGTTTGGAGAAGAACGTGCAGGTGTTGTTGTTGCCTTGCATTTGCTGCCGTTGTCCTTTTAGATGCTACAAGCCAAATTTGGAAAATGTTATTAGAGGTGCTTTTGTGAATTACAGCAGTTGATCTTGTAGATCATAGTATCATAGAATCCCTACAGTGTGGAAGCAGACCATTTGGCATCAAGTCCACACTAACCCTCTGAAGAGCATCGCATCCAGACCCATCCCGCTACCCTATCCCTGTAACCCTGCATTTCCCATGGCTGATCCACTTAAACTGCACATCCCTGGACACCATGAGCAATTTAGCATGGCCAATCGACCTAACCTGCACATTTTTAGACTGTAGCAGGAAACCCATGCAGACACAGGGAGGACATGCAATCTCCACACAAACAGGCTGGAATCAAACCCGGTCCCTAGCACTTGAGGTAGCAGTGATAAAAACTGAGCCACTGTGCTGCCGCTGGTCCTACATGTGGCATTAAGAAACATTAGCAAAATTGTATTCAGTAGGAATTAGCAGGAAAACTGGCTGGAGTGAATCCTGGCACAAAAGAAGATGGTTGTGGTTGTTGGAGTGCCATGAGAAATTCTCAAGTCTCAAAATCCTCAATTTAGATTGCACATTTTTCCGCAACATATTGGGGAAGAAAGGCTCAAAAGCTTTTTATGTTGTTTTATTTTACTTTTAAATAGTCGGTACCAAAAATGTTTGATACTAAAAGCCAACGCCATCGACACCGCTGCTGATGCCGCTGCCTCCGTTTCCGAGGCCGACAACACAGACATCGAGGATGCCGCTGCCACCAACATCCAAGATTTACCGGCCTACGTCGCTCCGCCCACTGCTGATGTCACTCCGCCTACTGCTGATGTCGCTCCGCCCACCGCCGACGTCGCACCACCTCCACAGCCAGCAGCTCCAGAGGAGACTGCAACACCCAGTCCTGCCGGGTCTTCACCATCCCCCCAGACCTCCCCCTTACTGAGGACGAACGGTCAGTCCTCAGTAAAGGACTCACCTTTGTCCCCCTCCACCAAAACATCGACGAATACAACTCACATTTGGACATTGAACAGTTTTTCCGCCGCCTCCACCTCCGCGCTCGCTTACTTTAATCGTGAGCCTAAGCCTCCCTCTACTGACCCCTTCTCCCGCCTCCAACACACCGCCGCCTCCTGGACATCACCCCAAGGCCTCCTACCCTCCCTCGACCTGTTCATCTCTAACTGCCGTCGAGACATCGATCGCCTCAACCTCTCCACCCCTCTCACCCACTCCAACCTCTCCCCCGCAGAACGTGCAGCCC